TAATCTGTAAAAATAGTAATTTAAAAGTACAACTTCAGTGTACTTTTAATAATACAGTATAACGAGGAGGAACCTTTAGGAATAGTACATTTTCTTATTTCACTATCATAGCGTCTATTTTCACTATTTCCTTCAAAATTATTGGTCAGCTATAAACAAACCATACTATATTTTAGCTGTATAGTAGTAATATAATTTTAATATTTTTCCGTTACCCTATAAGGCGCAAAGTATAGGCATTAGTTGAGTCACCTTTTCTACATTGTTTTCAGTCTTTTGGTCCTAACGCGCAGGTTAGTTTTAGTTTGGGTTTATTGCCATATTACATATTATAGTACCGTCGATAAGAAGGCCACTACTGTAAAAACGCGCTCATGTTATAATGTTAATGTTTACAGGGCGCCGATCGTGGGTGTTTGCCGTTTCAAGTCGGGTCTTGTAAAAAATATGTTTCGATATTAAAACAAAAAAAAATACCGATTATGTAAACAACTCAAAATCGAGGAATCGAAAAATACAAATTACAGTAATGTTGATATGAAAGCGACATACTGTCATTCAAAAAAATCGTTGTAAAGTACCTTCCGGTTGCTCTCTTCTTAGACTATAAAATATAAACTATGATAATCTGACTATTAAACAAAAAAAAATGTAATTGTCTATATAATTGTTTTTTTTTATAACAGTGACTACAATGAGTTTGGCGTTGACAGCGTAGCGGTCCAATATACATAATACAGGAAATAGTAATAATCGTTAATGTACTTTTATTTTAAGTAGTCGCACGCCCTCATAACTGTATCTGGGAACATTGCCTAGTTACGAGTATAGCGAAGTTTTAACATCGTTTCTATGTACATTAAATGGATGTAAGTACACTACACCACCTAACCTATCATGTGCACAACTATACTGCACAACCAGAAAGTATACAAAATCAATTGGATGCCATTATTAATTATAATATTTATTGACCGACTGCCATTTTTTACAGCTGCAAAAACGGAAATAATAACGTTAACCTGTTTATTTTTTAAAAACAAATCGTCGAATTTCCGTTGTCCAGTGAACGCCGCCTAACTCAACACACATAATACACATAATATGCATATATATATATATATATATAATACAACTGACGTTATTTGATCTCCTAAAGTTTCATTGCGTACGTCCTCTTTGCAACAATGTACCACGACGCACACCCATAAATCCGTGACATTATTTTCGATAAAATATGTATATTGTGTACATATGCATATTATAATAAACAGTATAACGTTTGTCGAGCGTCCCTCATTCACATGCTAATACACAACACGAAAACGGCCACGGACAAAATATAATAGTTTAATAGAAACAAAACACACACACACATATTGACATACTCATTTACACAATCACATAATCAATGCCAATGTTTGCCCAAGAATTACCCAGGGGGTTAACAGATCGGTTATCAACGAAATTGGACTGAGCACGACGTTGACCACTCGATGATATGGTACGATCAATGCCGACTCTAAGCGAAGTTAACCGAACACGGTCACAGCCACACAAATGTCCCAATCGCGAGGCTAAGTAAAAACAAATTGACAACAAAGTATTTCGGTTGTATTTTAAAATCGGAGATAGGCAAAAAGTATCTAAGTACCACCAACAAGCCTCAATTTAAAAAAAAAAACCAGTACAGTGGGGTCGGGGCATAGTTGGGCCGGGGCATAGTGGGGATGGGGAGGTCACAGGTTTACAGGAATTATTAAAAATAAAAGTGATAAAATTGAATAAAATCACTTTCAAATAAACGCTTTGATGCTTATTTGTAAATACAGCACCTCAATTTAATACTTTCTAACTTTGCTGGTTTATACTGTGCTTGGTTTGGACTGTTGAAAATACCGGTGGTACACGATTGCGAACGTTTTACCTTTTTCGCAACACGATGGCGAACGATTGTCGGTAGATCAAAGAAAAACTATTTTATACTCAAAAATCAAACGATTGCCAACGATTTTTCGTGCGACGTTGTCAAATCGAACAACAAAAATTATAGGTGGCACTTTATCGGTCATAATACACAAAAAGTTTTTTATAAATGCAGGGTAATTTTTAAATTGAACCACCTTTTTAATTTTTTACTTCAGTTAAAATAAATTTGTATCTACAGTATCATTCACTAACAATTTTTTTATTTCTTCACAATTTAAAGTACTATCGTGTTGGGGAATTTAAAAAAATTATAACTTTATAAAATAAATTTCAAAATAACAAACATACATACAACCGATCACCAATCGTGATAAACACTAATTAAAGAAAGTTGGTACACATAAAGTTAGAGTAGGTCTATTTTACCGTCGATAGCGACGAAATTATATTGAAAAACACTTTGTTGGTATTGTCAGTTTTAGAAATTTTTGGGAAGATTACAAATATTTATGATTTACTTTTGTTATAATAACATTATTATTTTGTATTCTTTGATAAGACCCATACGGCAACGTTGCATGAGAGATAGCAGGTAAAAAAGTTCGCAATCGTGTTTCACCCGAAAATACTAACTACCGATTTGCATCGAAGCGTTTTTTCGAAAGTGATAAAATCACTTTCAGATTTAAAAATTCCTGTAAACCTGTGACCTCCCCATCCCTACTATGCCCGGCCCAACTATGCTCAACCTTTTTATAGATCCTTAAATTGTAAAGGGTGGGGTAGTGAAAGGGTTTTTACATTTAAATACATTGGCAAATCGTCCGTTTTACTGCCCCACCCTGTATATTAATTTCTTGTTGTTTTCTAAAGAAAAATTGAGTTTCTAACATTTAAATTAAAGTTAAATTTTGTACTGGTACTGTGACGGAGAAAACTATAAATTTTACTTACATATAATTCTTATTAGTTAAATATTACTAACGTTTATAACCACTAGCTGTCGGCTGTTGCCTGTTATTTAACAACAACCTTTTATGGAGATTTTAAAAATTGTGTTTTTTTTAATAATCGTATAGAAGCAGTATGACTAAGTTAAATGTTCACGAGATTTGATCTAGTCATAAAATAAAGTATTATCACTCATGACTTAAATTTACGGCTTAAAACGCCTAAAAACAAAAAAACTTGTACCCCCCCACCCTAGGGGGTTGGAATTTGGTATAATTTAAATTTGATACAACTGACGTGTGCGGGCATACCAAATAAATATTCCTAATAAATTGCAACTCGATCCGACTCTTTTTCTCGAAATTATAGCCAATAAAAGTTGTAACTTAAAAACTCGTCCGTTTTTTTTTGTTTTTCAAATTCGACTGTGAAGAAGTAAACTTTTTCAACTTTTACCCCCCTCAAAGTACCAACTAGATGAAATTTGTGTTTTTAAGAGTTGCTACTCGAAGGAATTAGCCCAGTATTAAAAAAGTTACAGTGTATACAGATAAAAAAAAAGCCCACATCAGAGTAAAACCAATACCTTCGCCGCTCTGCATCGAAGCTAAAATTTATCAATTATTCAAATTAGATACATTGACATTGTAAAAGTACTAAAATGTAATTTTATAGCTATTACTGATTAACAAGGGTAAACATTTACCTCAATCACATAATGTAATTTGTGTGAGTAGAATATTGTACTAGTTGTGTGACTGACATTAAAAGTTCACAAATAGAAACTGACACTCTTATATGACAAACACTGAAACAAATATGAGAGTTTTTTTACAAAACTTGACACATTATGGAAAATAAAACTTCCCAAGTACATGGAAAATTACAGTTAACTTAAAAAAATAAATACGTTGCCCAAATTACACGTCAAATGATTATACAGACAACAACTTTGACCGAATTAAACACATTTTCTTTTTTTTTATAAAAGAAAAAAAACACATCTAACATCAACTACAAGCTTTTACAAGACGTACAAAACCAAAGAACTTGAACAAATAGTAACTGCATTCAAATTATGAATACAATAATTTGTTTAAATACGAGTATTACAATTGTTAGCATTAAAGAAAACTAGCATAAAAAGCTTCTTTTTTGCCCTTTTGGTTAAAAATAAAAATATTTTATTTTCAATCTGTACCTTGGATCTCAATAGACTCATCTCGTTTGTATTAAAAAGTTCTAATTTTTTCATCTTAAGACCCGTGGTTTTTAATTAAATTATAACTTTCTAAAGACTTTATAATTTTAGATTTTTTTTTTACACACAACTAACATTATGAGTTACTTATTTTATCTGTACTGCAATTAGTACCCAACACTTTAATGTATAATTACCTATAAATTTAAATGCCGTACATTTTTTATGTATAAAAACTAAACAAAGCTAATTAGTTTTCAATTGTTTATCCTGTTTTTTTTTTATAAGTGTTATGTATTGAAGGACGTGAGGTTTGGTAGTTGCTATTTTTGCTAATTAAAATTTTAGCACTAACCAAAAAGAAACCCTGGATATGCGCTTCCTTCCAGCTCTTATTAGTCTAATAATCAAAGTATCCCTTTTGGATTCATGTTGCAGTTATAAACTTCCATTTCAATCACAAATCAGTACCCGTTAGTTTTATACCAGAAGTTATTGGTTCGACAATGTGACTATGAATATATTTAATAGTTAAAGCCGTACGCTTGTTAAGTAAACTAAAAAAGTTCATTCAGCAAAACCGTCTTAGACAGTATTATAATATAACAATACAATCGATATTGAATTTTACAACACAAAAAAACAAAATGTAAATACATTTAAATAGTTTTACAACTTTTCGCATAATTCTCGTTAACAAATAAAACTCCTAAACATATTTTAAATAAGAATACTACTATTAAAAGGCGACACGTGTTTAAGTTAGACTAAACAAGAACACAAGGTCGGTAGGTAGACATATATATATCATGTATTTTTACATATTTGTGAATTGTAAAAAAAGTCAATATTTTACTAATACGATTTTAAATGTATAATATAATATTATGCTTTAATAAAACATAAAAGTAGTGTAGTTTATTACTACCTGCATTACACATTTTTAGGTATCATTTATCTTGTAAAGTTCGTTCATAAAATCTTATAATATCTCGGCAAACAATATATTCCATATAGTCGTAAGTTTTTAACTATTAATTAATAATATAAATATATTTCGGTGTTCTATACACTTGCATAGACGACTATAATTGTGTCTATACTAAAAATAATTACACAAAAATATTTGTAGCATTTTATTTAACAAACATGTAAAATAACATTGCAACGTGTAGTAAAAACAAAAAAGATGAATACCGCACAAAATGACCGAATACAGAGATAGATGTATATACATTTCAAGGATTCTAAATGACAAGTGTACATTGGTATACGATAATTTAAAAAAAGTATTAAAACGAAATGGCAAACAGAACCGTCGTACTCATCAAAATTAATTCCAAGGACGAAATGAAATTGAAAAGTGACAGGGTACACCGCTGTTTTCCTAGGGCGAGTAGAAAATCAATTTTGACTACACAGTATATATTGGAATTTGATAGGTTTAAAAATAAAACATTACTTTACATCACAAAATACATGTAAAACCATATTATAGATTCTATAGTTTTACTGGCAATGGCCTCCGAACGGTTAATGTAAATACTAAATATTATTCGCCCACGCAACATATTTTGTCGACTAGCACTTTGCCAATTCAATTAGGCCACCAGCCGATTTCGCCTTTAATACAAACACCAAAATAAAGTTCATGAAAAATATTTGAAAATAATAATATAGTGTACAATATCGTTTATTGGGTTTTTTTTTAAACATTATTGATAGATTTTTGAAAACGTTTTACAATATATTATAGGGTCACCCTAGGATAGCTTCAGTGTGATTTTCAAACATTAAGCACTTAAAAATGCGGAATTAAAGAAAAATGTCTACTCATGCTGAAGGAAAGAGATGTTATTTCAGTAAATCGGTTGAAAGGAAAAAAGTTGTATCTTCAGACACAAAAAAAAACATTAATAATAAAACAAAGCTTAAATTAAGAAAAATGATCAGTATGGGCGATAACTGTTTTATCAAAAAATAATTTCTAAATTTTAAGTATCAGATAACATTTTTTATAATCTTCAATCATAGATTAATCATGAATATTTTTCATCTAATCCCTTATCGAAATAGAATTACACAATAAAGATGTAAAAACCATTTGGGTGCGATAATAATTAGTACTTTAAAAATAAGTCATACTCGACGAATTATTTTTAAACTATGTTTATCATTATAACACATTTAGCATTATATTAATTACATGCCAGTACTTCAAACACAACTATAACTTACATAATATACCTTTTATAGACATTTTCCAAAATTAATAGAAAATTTCTAAATTTTTTTTGAACAATTTGAGATTAAACACTATGAATTTTGGAAATAGGAATTGTTTGTGAATTTGTTGGCGTTTTTCTTGAAATCAGCTTTGCTGACAGGAGGTCCCTTTTCGTTATGCCCATTATATTTATAATTTAGTTTAAATGAATCAAGTGTAATACAAAAGTAGTACACAAAAAACCGATTCGTTAATAAATCGGCACTAACACATTTTAGTCACCGGATATAGAAAAAGGTCAACCGTTTAGGTTAAATGTTATGGTAGAAAAATCAGGTTAATTATAGTGGCTTGCATAAATCCATGCGCTTGGGATTCATAAGGTAATAGATGCGCTACACAATTTAATGTATTAGCCTTATCAAGGTCCAATTTTTTTTTTTTTTTTAATACAAAATATATCCGCACAATAGTGTTTTTACTAAATTAATGTCCCCTACTTTTTCGTTTGTACTATTTAAGTGTTTTTTTTATTTTGATCTTAAGTTCGTAACGACTGACAGTTAACCATGCATAATATATAACATGTGATTCTTTCTCCAACAATACAATTCAAAATTTTAATTCAATTAGTAAGTTGTTTATTATCGTCGATGCCGAGTTATCAAAAAAAAAGTCTTACTAAAAATTTTTGAAAACATTTTTTCAGACTTAAGCCTAAAAACGTTACCTAAAAAAAAGAAATAAAATAAAAGTCTCCAGCCCTTCCGAGGGAAAGAGTTTTTGATATTTATTTGGTTGCACAACCTATATTGATAAAACTACGACTAATTTGGAACTGATCTACTTATTTTTTAAATGTTATGGTGCGCCGTACTTATAATTTGAAAAAGATGTACATTTTTTAAAATTTATTTTAAAGGAGAATGGGCGAACTTTTTAAATTTTCAACCTCGTAAAGTACGTTAAAGGGACGATTTCTGATCTGAAGAGTTGCTAGAGTAAGATATTTATATTATGTAGACACCTATATGACATGGAGGGGAAAGAAACCGGCTCAGCTGTTTAGAAGATATCGTAAGGGTACAGACACAAAAAACACATGATTAATATTTAAAAAAAAGCCAGTACAGGGGGGTCGGGGCATAGTGGTGAAGTGATAAAATCCCTTTTAAGTAAACGCTTTGATGCGAATCTGTGGATAGTATGTTCAAACAAGTTATAGCGGTTTAGAAAATATCGTGGGACCAGCAATAATATACTTAACATTTAATATTTAGTCTTGTGCAGGGTGGATACGAGAAGGGTTGATCATCTGTCTATAAAAATGTACTGTCATAGTTACCCATACATCGTAATTAACAATATAATACAAATATTTTCGTTTCCTGTTGACTGTTGATTCACTCACACATAGCAACCTAGAAACTGACTACGACAAAATTGTAAATTCACCCTATTTTTGGGGTTTTTCCTTAATAAAAAAAAAAATTGACTTCAGATTTTTGAGAAAATTGTACATGTTATAGTTTCATTTTAGATCTACCTTCGGTCTAATTTTCAGATCTAAATCTCTAAAACTTTGCCTGAAAAGGTGAAATAAAGAAAAGAATTCCATCCCTTCTAGGGGAAAGGGTTTATGCTATTTTTTTGGTTTGTAAATGTTTATCGATAGTACTATGTTAATGAACAATTCATATAAATTTGTAACTTTTTTAAATAAGTTATAGAGCATCGTAATTTTAAGTTGAAAAATTTGTAAATTTTTTGGGTGTTTTTCTCGATTTTGATGGGGAAGGGGTGACTTTTTTTAATTTTTGAGCCAATAAAGTACTTTCCAGGTATGATTTCTGATCTAAAGAGTTGCTACACGAAGAATTCGGTTCAGCGGTTTACGAGATACCGTGGGTGCAGACACGAAAATAAAATAAATACAAAATTAAAACACATCATTGTAAAAACAATACCTTCTCAGCTGCGTATCGAAGTTAAAATTAAAAAAATAACACACGGTTATCAACGAATATATAATACTATTATCTATGAAAATATGGTTTCATAGTTTTTTATCGTCTACACTGCGACAAGTTTTACATTTCATACTTTTTGCAGCTTTGAACCGGGGCGTGGTGGACTACGGTAGCCGGCAATCGGTTCAAAACGGGACATAATAATAATAATATCACTATTGCAATAACATTATAATATCATATTATTATAGTATTTGTGTTTCTGGGGCTTTTCTGCTCGACCGTCGGTTCAGAACAATGGACATGGAGACACGGGGGAGGAGGGTAGAGACGTGTAAGCGGCAGATTCTATTACTATACTCGTTGTTCCGTTCCATCATATTGACCTGAAACTGTACAGTGACGGTGTGTACATATAATATATATTTATACATAAATACATTATACTTATGTATAAATATGTGTGCGTACGCGGCCCGTGTTATACTATAACGCCCACTATTGACTGTTTGACCTCTTGAAATCGTTCTTGTTTGCAACAATTATTATTATTTGGGATAGAAAGTGCACGACACACACCATGTGTAGACGATGAACAATATTATTATACGTTTAGAGTAATACAATAGAATGTAAATAGTGCAATGTGTCCGCCATATTCGTGGAGATCGCCCGATGCCCTATATCCGTCCCTCCCCCCCCCCCCGGGTTATTATCAGGTCGGTTTATTTTTTTTTTAAATCGTGTACGGCTTTAAGTAATTTAAAAAATTGAAAAACACAGTCACGGGTCCGAACCAGAACAAAAAATTAATACAAACGTTTAACGCTGAATATTGTAAAGTATCTACATACACACTGAAGCCCTGCAACGCTAGCTCTAAAGATTATAGAACAAAGCATGCAATACTATAAGGGGGAAAGTTACAATTTGGTATTGCCAACGAGGATCTTATCTTTTCTTTTTTAATAATTGTACAGATATTTATTTTTTGAAACTGTATGCTATTATTTAGTAATAATGTTGGATATTCCAAAATAAACGTGAGGTGTACTTTGGTCCAACACTCGTTTGGAATACATAAATTAATATTATCATCATTTTAGCGTTTTAAAAAATTGATACCATCCACAAAATTGCATGATGGCGTTTATTTTTTCATATTATTTTAAGTGATTTCAGACCCACGACAACCCACAACCCATTATTTTTTTTAAAGTGCCTACAATATCATTATATAAAAAAAAAGGAAATATTTGTCATAAACAAATCGATGATGAACTAATCATATTACTAATGGAGCCACATAGGCGTATAGAGATGACAACAAACAGTAGGGAGTACAGACTTGAGTAGGTTAACAGCAAAAACTATAATACATAAAATATGTTAATATATTATAATTATTTGAATTGTATTTACCTTTTGGCTAACTGCCCGTATTTTCAATAAAAAATAAATTTGAAAAAAACAAAATTTTATTTTGTTTACCAATTTTTTAGTTGTTGCGAAAAGCGATAGCTGTAGGTTTGGTTCATTATAAATTACATTTCTTATAAAAAATTAGTTGAAAAAACACTTGTCAAATATTCCTAACATCATAAAAAATATTGACAGGAGCATAACTTGGTGTGTTTAAGTTAGGCTGACAAAATGTTTCAGTTAAAACTGTTTCTTATATTTCATTTATAATATAGAAAGCAAAACCAGCTACTCGACGTGTTTTAGGTCTTATACTTTATAAAATCTTTGTTTTAAAATTTTTATTTTTCAACTCCTCTTTACAAGAGCATGCTTAAAAATAGTCTACAAAAAAAAAACAAAGGCAGTATCTTCTATCGGAAAAAAAAATCAGATCAATATGAGGATAAAATAATTTTTTTAATGACGAACCCAAATTAGAATACTAATGTTTTCGTTTAAAAATCGTAAACATTTAAAATATAAATTGACAAAAAATTGATAATATTAACCAATACGGAATACCTTTTAATCTCAACAAATTATGGTATTTATTTAGAATTTTTTTTATCAATTTTCGAGATGATATCGATAACTAGCAAGTTCAGAGGTCCAATTGTAATCGGGGACTCGCAAACAGTAAGTTAACCTACATTATCATACTTTTGTAGACATACACAAAATAAATTAGAATAAGTAAGATCAAGCTTCTATCAGATTTTTTCAAACCTTATATCTCACCTAAATTCAATTTCCACAGATAAAACAAAATTTGACTCCTGTTTTATTCAACATTTTAATTAACAGTCTCGACAATTTTATTATTTCAAGAATAATTATTTCGAGATCACCTTAACTCGGCATTAGGTGAAGTGTACAAATATACAGTATACCTTTTCTAAACACCATTGCAAAATTCTAATATTCTTTTGGACGTTTATATCTAAAAACAAGACTTGTAGCATATTTTAAATTCTTAAACGATCAAATAATTTAATACGTAAATATATATATATATATATATATATATTATATATAAATAGTGACTCACCAGAGTGTAGAAGATGACACATCAATGGTTGAAATGTTTTGGAACAATCTGAAATACATTTTTAATTATAGGATTAATATCTAGATGAACGTTGTCATATAATATTATACCTATGGTCAAATGTCGATTATTTTGGATCTTAACAGCCATTCAATCATCTATTCCAAATGCCAATATTCAAAACATACCGGGCGACGCTTTTACTTTGCAACACCATCGAAGGGAATTTCTTCAATGTAGATAAAAACCTTGACACTAATGAAAATAAAGTCAATATTTATAGTAATCGTGTATTTTCCCGTCGTTGATAACTTAAATCGAACACTTCTTCACTGTTAATGATCGAAAACATATTGAGAGCATGTAATTAGACCATAGTATAAAAATATGATTTATTACACACATCAGTAATTAGTATAATAATATTGGCAAAGTTTATACTGAAAAATAAACTATAGAATATTGTATTATTTTATTTACACACAATCAGCAAGTGATTGTTCTTATCATACTGATAATACGTTAAAACTAGAACCCTGGTTACGGAAAAGCATTTAATTATTCTGCCATGGACTTGAAACGGAACTATATTATCAATGTTTTATTATTGTTTATACGTTATCAATGTGTCGTGTGCGGTGCGAACGATTAATTTATAAACATTTTTAATTTTTATGTTATATATTACTTAATTCTTACAAGTTTTTGACTTTTGTAAATTTACTCAGTATAACAAACACTATATCGTTTTTTCAATGGCATCAAATTAAAAATAAATGTATAACGATTGCGCTTCGGTACAAACTTCGGATTATTATTAAGAGTTTATTTGTTTTTACTATTACATTAACTGGTTAGTCGAATTCAAATTTGATTTCAAAATGTCCATAGAAATCGAGTCGGCCGAGTAAGTAGTAGACTAATGTGTAAATTTGTCAAGAACAAATATTAAATGTTACCTTTACCGCTTTCAGTGTTATTCGACTCATTCAACAGTACTTGAAAGAATCAAACTTGATGAAATCACTCCAAACGCTTCAAGTAAGAAATTTTTATTAAAAAAAAATAATACAGGATTTATCTCGTTTAAAGCCTCAGATAATTTAAAAAAGTTACTTGTTTTAAAAAGTTTTTTGCTTTTAACTTCAAAATTAAATATTCAATTTTGTGTTAAACACTAAAAAAACTCGAATGGGTTAATTATAAAATAATAACACAAGGGTTTCACATTTTGAAATGATTTTAAATTTTAAGTATTTTTTTCTTTTATAATTCAAAAACCAATTACAAAATTTAAAAACACCATCGTATTCAGCAAAGAACACACATTTTGAAGAAAAAAATCACTTTGGACTTTTACTTGATTTATTTCCAATTTACTAGCTTAACCAAAAAAATCGTTTGAACTAGTAATTTATACAATAAACTATCTCAATTATTGATAAAGTTTACAATTTAGATGTATATAAATAAATATTTAATTCATAATAAAATGTTTTAAAGCAATTTTGATGTTTGTGAGATTTTAATAAACAATATTGAGTCCTGATACAACATAATGTATTGTTTTAATATTCTTGTGGATTAGACAATATACTCTTTATTTCAGGAGGAGACAAGCGTATCGTTAAATACTGTCGATAGTATTGACGGTTTTGTTGCCGACATCCACAACGGTCATTGGGATACAGTACTAAAAGCCGTACAGTCACTGAAATTACCCGATAGCAAGTTGATCGATTTATACGAACAGGTGCGTAATATTTTGGGGTTGCTATTTCATTTGATGAACGTTCATTTAATTTTTAATTTTTAGGTTGTATTTGAACTGATAGAATTAAGAGAGCTTGGAGCAGCACGTTCGCTATTGCGGCAAACAGACCCGATGATAGCCCTAAAACAACACGAACCTGATCGCTATATACATCTCGGTAAATCATATTTTGTTCAGTGTTGTCGAAATTGCAATATTGAATCGAGTGCTACTTACTGTTTTTTTTCTTACGCACAATTTCAGAAAATTTGTTAGCTCGTTCTTACTTTGATCCACGTGAAGCATATCCAGAAGGAACGTCCAAAGAAAAACGGAGAATCGCTATCGCTCAGTCTTTGGCCGGCGAAGTTTCAGTTGTACCGTCGTCAAGATTGCTTGCTCTTTTAGGTCAAGCGTTAAAATGGCAACAACATCAGGGTCTCTTGCCGCCTGGTAAATAAATATTTTGTTGACCACTAATTTATGATTTTATTATTATCGCTCGATTGATTTTTTTTTTTTTTAGGCACATCGATTGATTTGTTTAGAGGTAAAGCGGCCGTTCGAGATTTAGAAGAAGAAACGTTCCCTACACAACTCTTCAAACAGATTAAATTTATCCAAAAGAGTCACGTGGAATGTGCTAGGTTCTCTCCGGACGGACAATTTTTAGTCACCGCCACCGTCGATGGTTTTATTGAAGTGTACAATTTTGTAACGGGCAAAATAAGAAAAGATCTCAAGTACCAAGCTCAGGTATAGGGGGAGAACAAAAATAGTTAGTAATTATATTTCTGCAATGTCATATTAATTTATTTTTTTCAAGGATAATTTCATGTTAATGGAAGACGCTGTGCTGAGTTTAAACTTTTCACGAGACAGTGAAATGCTAGTGTCGGGATCACAAGCGGGCAAAGTGACAGTGTGGAAAATAATGACTGGACAAGTAATGCGTAAATTCGAAAAAGCGCACGTACTAGGCGTTACTTGTGTTCAATTTTCTAGAGATAATTCTCAAATTTTAACTGGATCTTTCGACATGACAATTAGGTTAGTGATATTTAATAACCTGTTTTAAACAGTTTTCTTTTTTTATATGTTAATAAAATTATTTAATTGTGTACGAAACCAATATAGAATTCACGGTTTGAAATCTGGTAAAACGCTCAAAGAGTTTAGAGGCCACACGTCATTTGTAAATGAAGTTGTATACACAGTCGACGGCCATAGCATTATAAGGTGAGACGGATTATTTTATAAACTATTTTGTTAATCTTTTTTTATCTCTGAGGAAAGCTCAAAAAAATAAACTTTTTTTCAGTGCTTCTAGTGACAGTACTGTAAAGGTGTGGAACGTAAAATCGACAGAATGCACACACACGTTTAAATCGATGGGAGCAGCGGATGTAGCTGTCAACAATGTTCACCTGTTTCCAAAAAATCAAGACCATTTTGTCGTGTGTAACCGATCCAACACTATCGTCATCATGAATATGCAAGGCCAAGTATGATAGATTCTAATAGCTGTTATACTGTCAGCGGTCTACTCGTTGGAGTACACGATTCTCATCGTAGAGTCATTTCATATGTTTTAATTTACACGTTGACTGGCCGTGTATCTCTTTAGGTTCAAATATTTTTGGTCATATCATATTATTTACTAATGTTAAATAATAATGGTTGTCAATAACTTAACACCTGACAATGTTACATTTATAACTGCGTTCAAATAATATGAAAGTATCAAAAAAGTGTTTGTGCGTGACGCAAGTTTCAGTATATTTTACCAATCCATAAATATACAATTTTTTTTTTAACTTTCAAAGCATGTAATTATGTTATTTTGATTATTATAAAAATGTAAAGTGGGCACTGGCAGTCTATAATCTTACTACTACATCACTGTACTATTAAAATAGATATTTGACCATTAATTTTGTATTCGTAGATTGTGAGGTCGTTTACGAGCGGCAAACGTGAAGGTGGTAATTTCATTTGCTCCACGGTGTCTCCCAGAGGCGATTGGATTTACGCTGTCACCGAAGACTATAACTTATACTGTTTTTCTCTGGCCAGTGGAAAGTTAGAAAAAACCTTGCAAATACACGAGAAAGACGTCATCGGGCTCACTCATCACCCCCATCAAAATTTAATATGCACATATTGCGAAGACGGAATGGTAAGACTGTGGAAACCGTAGAATGCCTATGCCATTTTTACTGAAAAATATTTTCACGTGTTATAATTTTTATCTCCACACATGTATTTATGTACTTGGACATTTTTTTTAGTAATAAATAATCTAAGAATAAGACTACTTTTTGCCACCTTTTAAGAATTGTCTAATATTTTCATATTATGTTTTATTCTCTTTGTGTAATATTATTTCAAACATTTTGTTTTGTGGATTTACATTCAATTTGAACATATTTTAGTAGATTAAAATAAATTAAAAACTCTGTTATGTTAACACAATAATAATGTTTATTGCCTAAATAAACTTGTTCTAGTTTTAAACTAAAAATAAAATTAAATAATTAATCAATTTTTTTTTTGCATTAAAAATATATACACGATAAAATAATTAATGATTACATTTTATAGGTTAAAGAGAAACCATAATAAATAATAATAAAATATAATATATAATATAAAACTGAAATATGGATACTTCTAAAAATATTTTTATTAAAAAAAATATATATATGTATAATTATTTGATGGTTTTTTTTTTTTAATTTAAATTTTGGAGAAAAAAAAATAGTGAAAAGTGAGATTACAGTTTATTTATCAATTTTGAACACTATTCTATTTTTGACGCACTTAATTTTTTTTTTCTGGGATATTATGGCAATAATAATAGTATCATAAGAACGATGAAGTATAATTAAAAATATTATATAAAGTTGTTTTAAAAAACATAAAATAATATAATTAACGATTAGAAAATATCAAACATATAAATATATAGAATTATAAGTATAATAATTTGTAATTAAATAATGAAGAGAAAGAGCCCCGATGATAAGAAGCACATTAGAACTTTTAACTTTTTAACTTAAATTAAAAAAAAAAAATCTGTATTGCAAAGTAAAGTATGAACAATAAGGACAACGTTTTTATAACCTAATGGTGGACACATTCGAGTTTTGATATTCAAGCCGACGCATTACAGCAAAACTGTTTAATTTGGAATGCAGCCGAATCATTTGTATTGGCCGTAGTTGCGTCTATCCTAATCGGCTTCATACATACTTTGTCGATTTCGTCCCCATCGATATTGTCCATTTGACGAGCCGATACTTTGCGATGGATTTCTACAAATATACAATATATAAAATGTTGATAATTTTAAATTAATTTCTATTTTTGCAAGTACAAATCAAAAATGATGCTATTTACAAATTATTTAATTATTTCCATAAGGCAAACCTGAACGAAACAAACCTAATTTATGACGATTGGCAGCATTGTTTCCTGACGTTATCAGAGTTGACTGTGGGTTTGACGTCAATTGGCTCAATGTTTGTTGGCCGTATTGTGTCACCCTCTGGCGGGTCTCTCATTTGCTTTTGAGATACGATGTTATAGATTTCTGAACAACGTTGAGATACCAAACAAAAAACAAAACTACTCAGTACTAAAATATACAATACTTAGCTAAAAAAAAAAATCAATCCAAAGCAATCTGTCATCACCGTTTGCACGTCTTTCCTTAAAGTATTTTTTTAATAATAAAAAAAACTAGTGAAATACTGATAAGAAATTGGACTATAAATCAGGAAGTCAAAGGGAGTATATTTTGGCAAGGTTTATTTACATGGTTTTTGAATTTTGAGGGTTTCTAGTTTGAAAACATAATTTTTTCCCAATTACCCGGTTTTAATCCCATTTTGACTACCTGCCATAAAACATATTCTAAAATTTAGCCCATTTTATATAATATTATTATGTAATAGTAATATTGAAATACTTTCTACTATGAAATAAAAAAATAATTTTAAAAGAGCGATATTTGTTTACACTTTATAAACCATCGCTTTGTACTATGGAGGGAAAATAATGGAAGATGTAAAAAAAAAAGGCATCATGCAGAATATTTTGAATTAATAAATATAGCCTTGAGAGAAATGTCTTATTTTTACTTTACGTTTAAAGTATTATTTTATTATAATTTATAATTGAGCTAAATTGTGTACTAGAAACACTATTTAAACGTGCCAATACACTACTCGTATCAATGTCGATATCAGCTGCAAACATTAAGATCGATTTGTGGATACATTCTTACCTGTGAGTATATTTTCAAAAGCAGTTTCAACGTTGGTCGAGTCGAGTGCAGAAGTTTCAATAAATGATAAATTGTTTGCTTCGGCAAACGCTCTGGCTTCGTCAGACGGAACAGCTCGTAAGTGACGCAAATCCGATTTATTGCCAACCAACATGATGACGATATTTTGATCGGCGTGATCGCGTAATTCACTCAACCATCGTTCCACATTCTGATAAGTTAGTTGTTTTGCAATATCGTAAACCAATAATGCGCCTACTGCTCCTCTATAGTATCTGAAGGAGGAAAAAAAACAAATTAAAATCTGGTAGAAATTTTAGTATCAAACAAAAAATATTTACGCTGATGTTATTGCTCTATATCTTTCCTGTCCAGCCGTATCCCATATTTGGGCTTTGATTACTTTCTTATTTACCTAAAATTTAATGAAACATTTTTTGAATTGACTTTCTAGAAACATCAATAATCTCAATATTTGGCTATTTGGCCCGGATTACTATTATTCAGTATCGAATACAAACAAGAGACTATTCTTTTCTTTTTACTTTGAGACCATAATACTGAAGTTGTCAGTTTTTATTATTTCAAAACAAATTTTTTTTTATTGTTAACTGAAAATACAAATTTATTACAACCCGTCAAAACTTAATAAGTTTAATTCAAACTTCATTTATATAAATAATGCAAGTACGAATTACTGTATATTATTTTGTCTACTAAAAAATTAATTACTTTACACTTACTGTAAGTACTCAAAGCAATAATGTAGCTTTTAATAAATTTCTGCCTAATGAAGTTTAAAAATTTTAACGAAAGACTATTAGTACATTTTAATTAAATTTAAGGCAATAAAGAAATAATACATTTTAATTGGTATTTATAATTTTTTTTTTTATATTTTTTTAATTTAACATTATAATCTTTAAATAGTTTTTTTTTATATTTATTTATAATTAGGGCAAACAAACTAACAATACATTTTTCAACTAGTCTTCAAAATAAATTACAGTACTTATCATAATAGTATAGCTTAGTATGTTAAGTCCCAACCACAACAATATATACTAGAATAAATATTGTGAAATGAGCACATCTATTTACCTTAATGCTTCTTGTGGCAAACTCTACTCCGATAGTAGACTTTGATTCTAAATTAAATTCATTGCGTGTAAATCTAGCCAATAAATTACTTTTGCCGACACCAGAATCGCCAATAAGAACAACTGAAATATAAATGAACATTATCAGTTTTTCTTTTTAATATAATAATACTAAGTATTACAACACAATTTCTATGACACAGTTTTAATAAACAAATACTTAGAAATCAATGATTTTTAGCTTCAATGTTTACTATCAATGCAAACGACAAAAGAAAAATACAATAGTATTAACTTACAAATTAAATATTTATATTTTAGTAGCTGGTTTTTTTTTTAAATTTAAATTATTATTTATTTTTACTTGGGAAAGGAGGGAACTAAAAACAAAGTGTTTTTGGATAATATCTAAAAGCATTAGATTTTGAATTTTGTTTAAATGTAAAAAATGTTATTGCGAAGTTATAAAAGTTAAATTCAATTATAAAGATATGAAAACAGTAAAGTGTATACAACAAAAATACCAACGAACAAAGAACAAACAATGGAATACTAAAGAAATAAAAGAATACTGAACTGTATAAATGATACGGAAATAAACATCTAAATTGGTACAACAAGCACATTCAATGCCTTCATTGAAGCCAATAAACGAGGCTATTAAGGGGTCAAACAATAAAACAACCAGTATAGGTGGTCTAGTGTAACATCATTGGATATTAATTTAAAAACCATTTCGGCGACTATATAGATAGTTTTTATTATTTTCATGGTCCAAACTATACATTTCATAATTCCATCATTTACAAAGTAACAACGTAAACTGTAACAATATAATAGGAACTTTTCTCGAGATAATTGATAACGTTTATTTTAAAAGAGATCAGAAAAAGATTATTCAAAATATATTTTAACACCAGTCCCCACAATATAAACAATATCAATTGTTTTTTACAACTCATTCTTACCCCAATTAGTTTAAAATTATGTTTTCAACATAAGTTGATAGAAAAAAAAATTTATTAAAAACAACAATATCACATTATCTACTATCTACATTCGGTTGTACAAGAACTGACCGGTGTGCAAATAGAGGCGTCGCAACAAAATATGTAAAATTTAATAGCATTAAATTAGTCATACAAAAATGTCCAACATCCGATTCAATGTTAAAAATAAATACAATCGGTAAAAAACTGTTACAAAGGCTTGAGTAGGTTTTTTTTGTATTGTTCGACCGACACGGTATTACAAAAAATATATCAACGTATCTCATTACCTATTTAATAATACGTATTAGTTATAAATAACAGCAAAATATATATTAAAAAAAAAATGTTAATTTATGAGCAAAACTCTGTGAACAAAAGAGAATATGTAGAACAAAAAAATCGGTCGGTTGTTGTTTTATTTTTACCGATTAAGACAATATTTCGATACCGGACGAAAACAGTAGTAGGATCGACAAAAGGATGTATCAAGTAACAAAATTATATTACCTTTGAATAAATAATCGTATTCTTCGTCGCTAGAACCCATTTTTACACACTTTTTTTTACTATCACCCGAACGTTTACTTATAAAGTTTAATTAAAACAAAATAAAATTTGTCCAGAACACAAAAGATTGCGATAACGTACAAAACGAGAATCCCAAACGCGTAAATACAAAATTACAGGAACATTTTGGTTATCAATGAAAAAAATAAAACTATAGCGAACGGCAGCTGCAGCTGAACATAGTCCTTGGCGGTCCTCACTCTTGTATTATCGTTAATATTAATTAAAATATTATTTTACGATTTCCAATAGCCGAAAATTATGCGTGCAGTTTTTTTTTCTTATTATTATTATTTTATTGAAATGTGTGGTTGCATCAATTTTTTCCCGTGACAATTCATAAAATAAAAAATAATACTCATGACGATTGGATGCTCATGGCCAATCAGCAGTAGACAGTGCGCCAGTATGTGATAAATTGAAAATTCTTTTTTAATCAGCTGGTATACGCCCTAGCTGTTGTAATGTCCTATGGCGGCAAATGTTTTTTTAAATTCGTTGAAGCCGTTTAAGATAGGCGACGAATTTTTAAGATTAAAAATTAATAAAAAACGGTGTTGATAATGTGTTTTTTTTTTAATCGTCTTATCGTTAACTCGTTATCAGTTATCGTTAGACCACGTGAATGATATTTAATAATTTATAGTTTCATTTTTTATCTTCGATGCCGATTTACCGTAGCTGAGCATTGTTTTTACAACGTGTAAACCGATTTCTTCATACTGTAATCAACTCTATATAGATCAGAAGTCGTATCCAAAGGCACTTTTTATTTTTTACTACTTAGTCTGCAAACAATTTGAAAAGTTCACCCCTTCCCTTTCGAAATCGAGAAAAACACCTAAAAATATTTACATATTTTTCAACTTAAAATTACAGCGCTCTATTAACTTTTAAAAAAATAGTCGAAATACTTCCAAACCGGTATGGAATTTTTTTCAGACTTTGTATTACCAATAAACAAAAAAAATATCATTAAACTTTTCACCTAGAAGGGATTGGAAACTTTTTTAGGTGAAGTTTTAAGGTTAAAGATCTGAAAATTATACCGAAGGTAGGTCTAGACTCTAGAATATAAAATGTTCTCAAGAGTCTGTTCACTGTTGTCAAACACTTTAATTTTTTAAGAAAAACCAAAACAACCAATACGGCCAGTGTTGCCAATGCACTGGTATCAAATACTCGAGTACGCTCCAAAGCGAAGATCCTTTTCTGTTAGAAGATGGCATGGCAATGGCCATCAATATAAGTAATATCATGGTCCATACCAGGGTGAAATAGACATGCAGGTTAGGGCGGTAGGTTCCAAATTTCCTTCGTGTCATCCACTCTGTAATGCAGTAGTAAAATACACAATTCCTTTAATACATTTTTTTTAAAAGTCAGAAATTCTCAGGACTCGAAACAGATGGGACCACATAGTATACTTGTCTATGGATGGGGCTACTGATGTATGCGAGGATGACGTGGGAGATTGCGTGAAGTGGAAGTTTAAGACAAGATAGGGACCGACTCCAAATAGTTGAGATGAAAGCGAAGAAGAAAAAGAAATATTCTTGGGAGGCAATTTGGATGAAACATATTAATTACCTAATGCAGGGGGTATGGTTAAGTATAAAAAACATAATTTTGAAGACTACCTGGTGATTAGACTGCAAATTGCAAAAAAACGCTATTACGATTACGGTCACACAAGTCCAAAAGATCATTCCGAAGTTGCACTATGGTGTACTAGTTCTCGGGTTTTTTTTAATGTTATCAAAGTACAAATGACTGATTGAGAAACTTCAAAACAACAATGTTCGCCGACAATAATATGATTATAATTTAACGCAGTAACAAGAAAAATAATTAGAAATATTATGTTACAAAATGAATGCACTACGTCGCGTTGTGTCTAACTAATACCAACAAAACTGAGGCCAACAACAATATCAAATTCGAAAATAGGCGCAGTTTTTTTAATTATTTTTGTCAAAAGTTGATTTAGTTTTTTTTATTGTTTAACCGTTATGACTTATGACTATTAGTAAAATAAGATAGAATTTTGGCCTAAAGACAGACTTGTATGTCCTTATTGAATGTACCTATGGCTCACCAAAAATATTGCAATGAAGTATGGACGAAAAACGGCTTTACGGTTTTACCTACTGCGCTTTATTCACACCATGGGACAAATAATTTTATCAAGATTTTGTCAAGTAAATAAAGTTTCATCAATTGTCATTACAATAATGATTTACGCAGTTTTAAACAAGTTAGTGAACTATTAAAAATAACTTACAGAAATGGTTCTACTAATAATTGATGTAGACACATAAAAAGGAGGTTTAACTTCGGACTATGAGTTTTTAGTGAACTTTGGAAAAGGCCAATTTGAACCTATATAAAGCATCATAAAAATGAATGGCTGTTTTTGTACCATTTAACAAAACCGAAAAATATTACCTACCTGCTTCTACATTTCTAGCCTTGGCTCAAAATGTCATGATTTTGTTTTTTATTTGATTTTAGGAAATATATACACATTCTTTTAGCTTTGTGTTTGATGTACACGCAATACTTTTAGAAGGAGACATTTATAATCAATGATTATCACTATTGGTTAGTGATTAATTTCACATCTAAAGGTGAACTACTAAAACAGGAATTTTATTTTTTTATCGTTGATTACAATAATTAATTAATTCGTTTTTGATCTTCAAAATGTTTTTTCTTAAAGTTTAACAATACTAACTATAGGTAATCTCTGTAATTAATAATTAAATTATTAAATGGCCTTTAAAAATGTTGATGTACGGCCCTCTTGCACTGGCAGTGCGAATTTAATTGACTTTATTGAGTTTTGATACTATGTATATTGTATATATAAATATATATGTATTTCCAGTTTCCACTTTCTTATCTCTATGCCTATGATTTTTTAACCGCTTTGACATTAAACGTTCAATAAACAAAGTACAAGGTTAATTCATTATTTTAGCGACGACGTCTGAAAAAAATATTTATTTCATTAAACGTTTTAATACACTACATGTAATAATTATCTGCTCGACTACTATAACTAAACAAAAACAATGGATAATGAAATATAGTTTAAAACATAAAATAAAATAATATATGTTTAAAATTATTAATAAATTAATATATTATATTATGTAGCTATTGATGTTTTTTTTTAATGAGCAGGTGACTCATAAAATATGTAACTACTAACTTAGTCACTATATATCTTAGTTTCTGTCCACGTCACTTATAAATTAGTCAGAAACAAACAAGAAAATATCAATATTTAATATCGTGTTTAGAATGATGCAGTTAGTAGATTATATCTTATACATTCTTAATGGATAAACGGAAACCTCGACCTTTGTTAATTTATTATTTTAGGAAAGGGGAAGAAACATTATACCTATTTTGATACATTATACCTAGACACATAAGTACTTAGTGACTTAGGACTTGGGCTCTATTAAAAATGTAGTTAGTCTCTTATAACTTTAGGCGAGAAAGGCAAACAAATATTGAGGTGCTGATTTTCAAAATAAGACACTTATAATTTTCTTTTATACCCAAATTTTAAAATATTCACAGACACTACACGTTGAAATACTACAAAACAGTATTTTTCACAACTTTGTAGGCAATTAAGAAATCAACAAGACGTGCTAGAAACGATTTGAGATAACATTTGGATTTAACAAAAAAATTCTACATTAAATATAGGCATCACTTAATTTTGTTGTGTACGTTGTTTTGTTTGTGATGTTTAGATTAAAAAAAAAAAGTTAATTTAATTTTAATGATTTATAAATACTTTTATGTATTGCAATAAACATTTTTTGCAGTTTAAAGTTTTTAAGAAATTGTTTAATAAGAAAGTTAAAAAAAAAATTGTTTAAGTTGGACTAATTATACTTATTCAATACAAATATGTTTAGCGACAAAAAAAGTATAATTACCCTTTCGATGCATACTATAAAGTTTTATTTTAGAGTGATTCCTAAAAAAATATGTGACCTCTCCGACGGACGGAAAACGAATTGGAAATAAAAACTCCGGTCTAGGCGAAAAAGTGTAAAAAAACACAAAAAAATTACCGCCCGGACAGGGACTTGAACCCTGGACCCTTAGGTTAAAAGCCTAATGCTCTACCGACTGAGCTATCCGGGCTGATGCTAACGCTATGCATTTTAATGGTTTTTAAAGCAAACATATTACACAATATTATCGCGGTAATTAAAAAAAATATAGTATTATTCTGTATTCCGATTTTGGACTACCGATGTAATTTTAGTCGGACATATTTTATGCAGACCAACCAAAATGTCCGGTTGAAACGACACATTATATTTTGTACCGTTTTGTTTTTTTTGGTTAAAGAAAAAAAAGGTAGATAGTTTTTACATTGTGTACAAGATAGCGCTGCATACATTTTTGTTGTTGTGATTCGGGCGTGACATCAGCCCAGCCATGTTTCTAAAACAAAACGGAATTCTTCAATCAAAAACTGCGGGGCTATCGTAAACGTTGAACTTGTTTCTGCCGATAGCATTCACGCCCAAGTTAAACATTTTTTTCCACTATTATTTTTTTTCTAATTTCTTTTTTATGAACTTACAATAATATTTATTATGATTTCGTTTTATACGTAACGGTTTTTTTTCCCCGTACAAAATGAAAACGTTCTCAGGTTTAACATATATCGTCCTAACTGTTTTCCATTGTGCTATCGTCAAAACTGGTAAGAAACAAAATATTATATTCCAACTATATCTACGGCCGATTGAAACCTATTGCTAAACTCGAGTATATTGTATTGCTAAATTGTAAGCGCCAAAAAATAATGGATTTTTGTCAGACAAAACTGTGTTTGGATTTCAGAAATGTTGAGTGTATTGTAACACTATATTGAACTCTAGTACGTTCAAATTTGATGACAGCTACCTGTTATGGAATTCTCTTCCATAAAAATGTTATCGTCCATCTAGAATGTGTCCATAAATAATTTCGTAACATTTATATCTAATACAATCGACATGCAAATCGTAATGTAAACAACATTATATTAAATTTTGATTTTCCACAACGCTATATTGATGATGTTAGTTTCACTTAAAGCTCCTTAATAATATGGCCTTCTTAAAAGTGGTATTAAGTTTTGCAGAATTCAGTCTTGCACTTTCGATAATTTATACAGTATTGTAAATTCTCTGTTTTTCTAATTGTGTCGGTTAAACTGATTTTACATTTTTTTATTAATCTACTATTCTGTGAAGGTTTATTTTAGTTTGATTTTATGAGTAAAACAATATTATAGAGAATAATAAGCGAGAATGTTTAATATTAAGTGCGTAAAAATGCAGAGCGTCAACTATTGTTAAAATAGTATTCCTGAAAAAATGTCATTTGAACAAATTATTTAAATTTACCTATAAATAAGTTGGCTTTATCACTTATAGAATAAATATCGTCAATTATTTCTTATATATCACCTCTTAGTATTTGCCTTTAAATAACATTTAAAAATTAAAATAATTATCGTACATTTCTAATTAATACCTAATCTTATTTGTAATTTTTACAGAGTCTGACTGTAATGAACCACTATTAGAAAGAGCTGTACTAAGAGCAACGTCATCATTACCCGATAGAGGACCAGAAAATGCAAGGCTTAACGGTAATTATAACCGGTTTTATTATAAGCATAGATATATATTTCTAAGCTATTATTATATTTTTTAAATGAGTGTCGTTTGATTTCTAGATGGTTGTTTTTTTTGTTAAAACCAATTGTTTGTCATATAGCGTAGTTAGTCAGAAAGAGCACATTTTTATACTAGAATTTGTAAAATTAATGCATTAAATATTACCAAAAATAATAAATGTTTGATTAAAAGTATAGTAAATGAAGGGAATCAGTATGATAATTATTAATTACGCTTTTCTGTTAGCCAATGACCAAAGCAGAGCCCATATTTTTTTTAAACATTAGAAAACTGGGTTATATTGAAGAATGAATTGCCTATTCTAGTTATTGTTAGGAACTTGATTCGGATTAATTAATATCATCACATTATATTTAAACATAAGATTACAATTTTTAACTCGTCACTGAAGTTCATTTTTTTTTTCTTTGTCTAGGTGTTTAAATGTGCCGTAGTAGCCTAAGATTAAATTTGCCTAAAGAAAAATATTGATTTAAATGCACAGCGTACTTAAAACATTTGTACATTCCGCAATGACTTCGTCAAACAGGGTTCGTTGGGTGTTCGACTGTGGTAATTGGTTTCCATCGAAAAACGATTGGTCTAAGATTTCCCGTTCTATTCAACCCGAAGAAAAAGAAAGAATTGGTCGATTCGTTTTTAAACGTGACGCCAAAAGCTCAATCATAGGGCAATTAATGATTATGAAATATTTATCGCAAGTAACGCACATACCTTGGTCAAAAATTAAAATTAAGAGAGACCAAAATAATAAGCCCGTCATTGATGGATTTGATCTAAACTTTAACGTTTCTCACGACGAAAATCTCGTTGTGTTTGCTGGCGAGCAAAATAATACTGTAGGAATCGATATCATGAGAAATCGTTATAAAGGAGGGAAAAGTGTAAACGAGTTTTTTAGAATTATGCATAGAAATTTTAACTCAAAAGAATGGCAAGTTATTAATAAAGGCTGCACTGAAGAACAAAAGATTAACGCTTTCTATAGATTTTGGTGCTTGAAAGAAAGTTACGTAAAAGCAACGGGGACTGGATTGACAGTTAATCTTAAAAACATTTGTTTCGTACCAAAAAGTGATTTGATAAAAAATTATTTTGTAACCAATACACAGTTGTTCGTCGACGGACAACTATTGTCTGATTGGGTTTTTCATGAATATTTGTATGACAACAATTACACCGTTACTGTTTGCTTAAATAAACCAGTCGATCCTATAAATTTCAAATTTTTGACCTTTGAAGAGTTGACGAACAGTGCAGAAATGATTACGGATGTAGATGAACTCTATTGTAATAGTTTCATGGCTAAAAGTGACTGCCCTTAAGGGTGTAGTTAAACAAAGACTTATTATTTATTAGTTCTGCCATTTGTCATCAAACAATATAAGTTTAAGTTATTTTACTTCTTTAGTGGTTATTTAATGTTCATCAAATTTATGTTTTATGTTATGTAATGATTGCTGAACATATTTGTATACAATATATATATATTTAGTTTATTACAAAAAGTTGACGTACAAATGGCATTTAGGGGAAAACATTATTACACTATAATTCACTATTGCATGTGATGTATGTCTTTTGCATTTTAACTTAGTAACTGATTCTTAATATAATATTATGTACGTTGTTTGTTAGAAATTGTAATAAAGGGGTCTTTACGATTATGTGTACCTTGTACAACTCGTTGCCATGCAATAGAAAATGTTTTATTGACTAGTACCAATTATGGGAAGTAACAATAATAATGAATGTATACATATTATTTTATTATACTCCTATTTATAAAAATAAACTAAAATAGTTATGTTAATGTAAAAAAAAAAAAAAACATTTTAGAAGATATTTTAAAACTATGTAGTTATATCTTTATAATAATCATTTTTGGTATTAAAATTGGTTGTAATAATTAAAAAAAAAACATATTATATTAAAAATATATTTTTGATGTGTTTTTGGAAGTACCTTTTTTCCTTGGTAACCTTTTAAAAAAATATTATTGGTATAAAAAAAAATATTTTGATTTGTTTGTATACTATGTGCTCTTTTTGATCATCAATGCTTATTGTCACTTGAACCAAGTCTTTAGGCCTACGCTATAATATAGTATTCTTAGACACTTTTTATATCATAAATGAGCTTATACAATCTTTCTTATTTAATTCTGTAAGTTTCATTTGAAATAGTATAGTTTAACATTGGTACTCCATTGAAAGATTATTGGAATATTTATTTCAGTGATCAGCAATTAATAGGATTTCTGGAACATATTTATTTACTCCCTTTTTTAGTATTCATTTCAGAACAAATGAATTCTATGCTTTCATCAGGTTTCTGAGAAAATAAAATTGTTTCAAATTTTGTGTTATTTGCTTGGATGCAAGTAAATCTATCTGTTTTGCAAGTCATTCGTCCCGGCGTACTTCATCTTTTAATTTAATCAGAGAAATAGCATAAATTTAAACAAATTGTGGAGTAGTGAATTATTTTATTTTTATTATTGTAGTTCAGTATTTAGTATTTGCTTAAGTGTTTTTGATCGCTTTTGTACTGTAGGCCGTAATGCATGGACTGCGTACAGTTCCGATTTCGCTCAGTACCTCATCATTGATCTCGGTCAAACTATGACCGTGACTTCGGTGATGACACAAGGTAGAGCCGAGTCGTCTGAGTATGTTGAAACCTATGGTATTAGTTATGGATCAAATGGTCTCGATTATGCGGAATACAAAGAATCATCTGGAAACACAAAGGTAATTATAAATTGTTTACCATTATTAAATATATATATATATATATATATATATATATATATATATACACACAAAAAGGTAAGGTTTCGACGTTTAAAATTGGTAATGAGACATAGATTTTGTAAAAATTGTACAGATATTATTTAAGAATTTTATTAGGTTACGCAGCGTGGACTCCTTCGTACGATTCTCTCGATCACTCCTTGATAATTGAGTTTTCGGATAGAATGAAAGTGTGCTATGTTGATACCCGAGGCCGGTCTTCTACTCTAGAATTTGTTACTGAGTATTATATACAGTACTCAGATAACGGGCAGGGTTGGAAAAACGTTGAAGATTATCGTGGCGAAACCGAGGTTTGATTCTTACCATCGCCTTGGGTGTTTTTTCTTGTAATGGTAGTCATTAGTGTTGCAACATATAATAATTGTTTGTCTTTTGTAATGTTATTGTGTTAGTTTTGTTTTACATTTTTGTTGCGTTTGTTTTTGCTTGTTGTGAAGCTTTTTGATAGATATGTAAATTTTTCACTAGTTTACAAACATACTCAATTTATAGTAAATTATTTATTTCTATTTTGCTATGAGGATATTGGGTAGTTATCATCACATAGGCATTACACAATCACACAAAAATTGTGTTTATCTTATATAGCATCTTATAATTTAAAGGGGTAATCTGATTTACAAATGTTTCATTTTTCGCCGTTTGGCATACTTAATCTTTTTTTACATTTTATCATCAGCTCAAATTATACATTGTTTTGAAAAATAACTCTTTTTGTCGAATTTATAAGTATATTAGCATCATTGTTTCGTCAACATTCTTATTTTGATTAAAAATATTTTATTCCTTTTAACATAATTTATTATGTAAATTAAAAAAAAAAAATTGTTTCAAAAATGTAAATAGTTAAGCATTAATTATAAGATTTTAATGAGGGTAAAACCCTTTTACTTTTATAAAACCAGTGTAGAAAATAATTTAAAAAAAAAACAAAAATTGTTTAGTTGATTTAATGCAGATTTCTTCTTTTTTTTTTACTGTCTAACAATCACTTTGTTTGGAAACTGTAGTTGTAGTTAATAATAATTGAATAGACAATAAATGTGTTCATAAAAACAAAATATTACTATTATTTTCTAAAATTAATTTGTCTGATGTTAAATTGACTACCATGACCACGTGGTAAAATATTTACCATGTAGTTTTTCTCGAGGGGAAAAGATATACTTATTCTATATTCTTCGTTTAAAGGCACTTTTTTAAGTATTATTTTTAATCTGTAAATTATATAAGTATATAAATACTTATTTTAAAACTTTATATACTCTTTATTTATTTCTTCTGGCATCCATTCATTTAAAAAAAAGAAAAGAAAATGTTGATTTCGTAAACCAGGTTTTTTGAGTTAAGAATCCAAATTCTATGTATCTATTGTATCCGGAAACATGTTTGCCAAACCTTTCTTACCGCTAGATTATATGTATTTTTTTTAAATTGTAAAACAATGTCAATCAAACATCCAATTAAAAATATTCCTTTACGGTCATATCCCGTAATTGAGTGTCAAAAGCATTTAGTAGTAATTAATGATGACAGTCAATTTATTTGTCGTAAATTGGGTTTTTTGTTTACACTCATAAGTAATCTGTCTTAATTTATTGCTTGTTGAAAGTTTGGGTGTGCAACTGATGTACGTATTAACTGAAGGCCAAACCCAAGAATTACTTTAAAACAATTTTAATTAAAAATAACTATAATTAAATACAAACCTAATACAATTGTTTACATAGTATTTATTATTAATAAAATAAAAAATAATGAATTATTTAGAAATACAAATACTACATTATTTGAATAATTGGTTTTTAAATCATGTGATATTTATTAGCATCAAATGTTTTCATGTATTATAATGTGTAATAATCTACATAAATTTAAAAATATTCAAATTACAATATTAGAAGCAGATGTGTAATTATTTATTTGACTTAATTTGTTTACTATTTTTAAACAATCTGTTGAATGAATGTTTTTATAAATATTTTTTTTGATTTATGTTTAAAAAAAAATGTTGTCATTTAAACACATTTTAATTTTTAATAATTATTAAAATTTGTATTGAAATAAAATGCCCAGGAATAATTTCAAGTACACTTAAGTACTAATAAATAATTGTTTAATTACATTTTAAATTTATTTGATACAGTAAATAAAAATTAATTTAATATAGTTACATTATTTTCAAATTTGTGTTTCCGGCAATGAATAAAATACAATTCAAATTATAAAATTCGGTTTATATACTTTGACACTAAGAACGTTTGACAAATTCACTCTTCCTTCAACTATTGTCCCAAATTTTTCTTTTCTATTCGTGTTAAATAAAAGTTTTGAAATAATGCGAAAAAAGCAATTAATTACACTTATTACTTATTTAATCACATTGGTCATTGTTATTTATATTTATCGCCTTTTTTTGTTTAAACACAATGTGCTATATAAATATACTTTTTCAAATTCGTATTGACACTTAGTTTAAAAATCTATTTAATATATTAAAATTTGTATTTAATCAATTTACTGCATTTATTTTACAATTAACTAAAATTTTATTTTATTAATTTTATTTCATTATTTTTTCAGTTATTCAAAGGTAACATTAACGGAGACGATCCTGCACGAAATATATTTGAAGTTCCGATAATAGCTCAATGGATTAGAATTAACCCGACTAGATGGAGAGACAGGATATCGTTGAGATTAGAATTGTATGGTTGCCCTTACGGTAAGTGAATACATAACGCCCTTATACTTATGTATAAAGTAATTTTCCCTTCTGGTTATATTTTAGCATCTGACAGTCTTTACTTCAATGGTTCGTCGCTGGTTCGATGGAATCTACGAGATTCTCCGGTTTCCGCCCATAGGGAGTCCATTAGATTTAGATTCAAGACCAATGTGGCTGACGGTATTTTACTGTACGGTATCGGATCTCAAGGCGATTACATAGCTCTACAACTCCGAAACAATCGATTACTTTTGAACATGAATTTAGGTATGACCATTTGGGATTTTATATAATTAATAATTTATGATGTAACAGTGTATTATTGTATTGTTTTTAAATTTCGCACAGGTTCTCAAATAATGACTAGTTTATCAGTGGGAAGTCTATTAGACGATAACATTTGGCACGAAGTTATCATAATGAGAAATAAACTTGATGTTGTATTTTCGGTGGATCGTGTTACTATCCAAGACAGGATCAAAGGAGAATTTGAAAGACTTGACTTGAATCACGAAGTAAGTAGATTCTTAATTCTTGTTGAAAAACAATTTAAAAACTAAATAATTTTAACTATGCCAACAGATATACATCGGAGGAGTACCACACATGAATAACGGCCTGTTAATCAACAAGAATTTTACTGGCTGTATCGAAAATCTTTACATGAACTCAACAAACATGATATACTTAGTAAAAGAAGCATACAACTCGGGTGATTCGTGGTTAATGCAAAAGTATCAAAAAGTCAACACGTTGTACACTTGTTTGGTGAGTTTTAACTTTTAAGAGTTATTTAAAATTTATGAGTATGTGATACTCATATGGCTTACAAAAAAATACCTCGGCAGTCAACTTGTTAATTTAATTTATTTATGGTATTTATCCTATTCAGGAATCGCCTATTGTTCCGGTCACATTTTTGACTCGACAATCATATGCCAGAATTAAGAGCTATGAAGGAGTTAAGAAAATTAATATTTCATTGTCGTTTCGCACTTACGAAGAACGAGGTCTGTTAGCACATCATAAATTTTTGACAAATGGACACGTCAAAGTAAAAATATAGCGATAACCTTGTTAAAAAATAAATTTGAACGAAGAATACTAAATTATTTTTTGTTTCTTTTATTAAGTTATATTTAGAAAATGAACGTATCAAAGTTGAGTTAGTGACTAAAGATGATACGCGTGTTGTTTTGGATAATTACGAAGAGAGCTTCAATGACGGAAAATGGCATAGCGTTATTTTAGTGTTGAAAAATGATTTTCTTGAGTTGAACGTCGACAACAGACCCATGCAAACGATAAGGAAATTGGACTTTATGACTGGAACTAATTACTTGGTTGCCGGTAAGTTAATGAAAAAATATTCATATACCTAATGTTATTATTATAATTAATTATGCCACAGGTGGTATATATGGGACGGCCGGTTTTGTCGGTTGTATGCGATTGATTACAGTTGACGGCAACTATATGTTACCTACTGATTGGAAACTTGGAGTGAGTTTTGTGACACTAAAAAAAAATAATAAATACATTTCTAAAACTCTTAAAAATAATTGTTTGTTTTATTTTTTTTAGGAAGGTTATTGTTGTGAAAAAGAAATATTATTTGACGCTTGTCAAATGATTGACCGATGTAACCCCAATCCGTGTAAACATACTGGAACTTGTAAGCAGAATGCCGATGAATTTTTCTGTGATTGCAGTAGTAATGGTTATGGTGGTGCCGTGTGCCAAACGCGTAAGGCTTAGTTGCAATTAACTTAGGTAGGAAATAAGTATATTTTTTAAATGAATTACTTATTGTAGCACTGAATCCTCTATCGTGTCGAGCTTACATGAATGTCAATCCAGTCGGGCAGAGTGCTGATATCAAAGTCGATGTAGATGGAAGTGGTCCGTTGAAACCATTCCCAGTCACTTGTCAGTTCTATGGTAAGATAAGTTTATTGATTCAAGCACGTTCATCTGAGTTAGTGATTTTTTTTTTTTAATTTATAAACATAAAACATTCTATATTTTTAATAAAGCAGTAGCCGTATTGTGAACATTAGTGAATGATAACAAAATTTGCTGCCATACACGGCTCTATTTTTATATATTTTATTATTAATTATCCTAAAGTATAAACTTAAAAAACTAATCATTGTACAAGATAATAACTGCCTGTGAAAAAAATTATTAATTTTTGGCATTGAACGTGAACATTCCAAATACTAATAAACATAAAACTTGCTTAGAATTATTTTAATGACACTCGTGTAATATTTCTCAGCTGATGGAAGAATAGTGACAATGGTAAGACACCAGAGCGAAGGCGGTTCGCCGATAGACGGATACCAAGAACCTGGAAGTTATAAACAAGATTTCATATACGACGCAGGCATGTCTCAAATCGAAGCTCTTATTAACAGATCCCATTCGTGTTGGCAGTCGTTGAGTTATTCTTGTAAACAATCAAGATTGTTCAATTCGCCAGGTATTTAATAATAATAATACAAATGCTGTTACTGCATTGCTTTACACTATTTATTTTTAACATCCTTAATTCATGTTAAAAAAAAATAGCAAATGGATTAGATTTCCGACCGTTTGGTTGGTGGGTGTCGAGACACAATCAAAAAATGGACTATTGGGGCGGTTCGATTCCTGGATCGTACAAATGCCAATGTGGCGTCATAGGCGATTGCAAAGATCCCACGAAATGGTGTAATTGTGATTCTGGTAATTAACATTCAAATTTCATGTCTTATGTATGCATTATGAAAATATGACAATTATTCAAATTAAATAAAACATTTTATAGGATTCGATAGTTGGTTGTCAGACACTGGTGATATAAGAGAGAAAGAACATCTCCCAATAAGACAAGTTCGATTTGGAGATACAGGCACTCCATTAGACGACAAAGAGGGCCGATTCAAAGTAGGAGCTCTAATGTGTGAAGGAGATGGTAAGAAAAAAAATAAAACTTTTGACTAATTTTATTAAAATAATTATCATTTAAAATTTGAATTGGCTGTCAACAGATCTCTTTAACAATGTTGTAACGTTCAGAAAATTAGACTCGCAGATTCGTTTGCCCACTTATGATTTTGGACAAAATGGTGATATTTATTTCGAGTTTAAAACGACAATTGAAAATGCTATTATTTTTGAAAGTCACGGACCTAAAGATTATATCAAATTATCACTAATAAGTAAGAAAACATGTTATTATTATTTTTTCATCTAAATACTTAGATGGTCATCTTACTTTGCCAAGGTGGTCACTCGTTACAATTTAGTTACCAAGCAGGCAGTGGACCTTTAAGCGTTCGTGTTGAAACTTCGGACAAACTCAATGACGACAGATGGCATTCGGTTGTGATAGAAAGAAACAGGTTTGTACCAATACTGTTTTTGAGACAAATTTAATTAATATAGTTTTAACGTGGCGGATACTTGATTAATTAATTGTGTTGTGTAACAGAAAAGAAAGTCGTATTATCGTAAATGGCGCTTTGAAACAATCTGTCCGAGAGCCTCCTGGACCTGTCCGAGCCATTCATTTAACGTCGGATTTAATCATAGGTAAATTTGTCTTAAATTTAATATGTTTTTCGGTATAAATCGATAAAACCGGTTTTATTTTTATACAAACTTTATTAGGTGCATCGTCCGATGAACAAAACGGATTCATCGGTTGCATGAGAGCGTTTATGTTAAACGGCCAGTTGGTCGACTTGAGAAAATATGCCGAAAAAGGGCTATACGGCATTTCACCGGGATGTATTGGGAAATGTGATAGTAGTCCTTGCTTAAACAATGGAACGTGTTTCGAAAAATACGACGGCTACACGTGCGATTGTAGGTGGACAGCGTTCAAGGGACCTATTTGTGCTGATGGTAAACACAATTTCAAATTATAAATGTATAATTTTTGTTTTTGAATAATTTTAAGTATTGAGTAATAATAATTTTAAATAAGTACTTAATTAGGTAGTGTAGTCCTAATTATGTTTGTTTTTTTTTTCTCAAGAAATTGGTGTGAACTTAAAAGCTAGTTCGATGATAAGATACGACTTTGAAGGAATTTGGAGATCAACAATATCGGAAAATATAAGAGTCGGTTTTACTACTACCAATCCAAAGGGTTTCTTGCTCGGCTTTTTTTCAAATATTTCAGGAGAATACATGACCATTATGGTATCAAACAGTGGTAAGTATTATATGAAAAAAAAATAGAATAAATTAACGTAACAATGAGCTGAAAAATGTTGTGTACGTCTTAATGTCAATTTTTTTTTTCTAGGTCATTTACGAGTGGTTTTTGACTTTGGATTTGAACGACAAGAGTTAATTTTCCCGGATCAACATTTCGGGCTTGGCCAATACCATGATCTTAGGATTAAAAGGAAAAACTCTGGATCTACTCTAATTATGGAAGTAGGTTTTCAGGTTTCTTATGTGAAGGGGTAGTTGACACATTTATGTTATTATAAAATTATTATATTATACAATAAAACTGTCCAACTTAATTTTAAAGCTAAAACTTAAAAATATACACGCATTTTTTTGCTGAATAAGACTGTGACAATAGACATTGTGGCATGCTTAGTTAATTTTTTAAATTGTCTTCAAAGTAGATTAAAGATTTGTAAATAACTGATTTGTGCCATTTTTAGTATAATTGTAAGTTATAATTATCTTCTAATGTTTAAACATTTTTTTTTTTATATATATAAAAAGGTCGACGGATCTGACCCGAAAGAATTTCATTTCAACATAAAAGATTCTACCGATGCCCAATTCAATAACATTCAGTACATGTACATTGGACGAAACGCGTCGATGGCCGAAGGTTTTGTCGGATGCATATCACGAGTGGAGTTTGACGATATCTATCCTCTCAAGTTATTATTCCAACAGGACCCACCTCCTAACGTCGGTGGATTAAACAGTGAGTAATGGTTATCATTAAAATTAAAATAAATTAACATTATAGTCACTATTTGTATGTTATACATTCAACACGACTGTGAATTATCTAATTTAGCGACAATCAAGGAAGACTTCTGCGGTGTCGAACCTGTTACTCATCCGCCGCCATTGATAGAAACTAGACCGCCACCGATTTTAGATGAAGACAAAGTCAAAGCCGCGTACAACGAAACTAATTCCGCCCTTATTGGAGGTAATAACAATGTTTTAACAGTCACAAGAGATTTTAAATAACTTTTTTGTTTTTCTTAGGAGTCTTCTCATTCATATTATTAGCGATTCTTTTACTTGCATTCTTGGTGGGAAGATACGTTGCACGTCACAAAGGAGACTATGTAACGCAAGAAGATCGAGGCGCCGATATCGCGTTGGATCCGGACGATGCTGTTATACATTCTACAACCGGACATCAAGTACAGAAAAAACGTGAATGGTTCATTTAAAAATACCAAGAGTATTTTAAATGGAAAAAATGGTATTCAATTATTATATCGACTGTTTTATTTACAACTTTTTTTCTATTAACTTTTTTATTATTTTTTTAATCTGATACTTACTCAAGTCTAAGAACAATTGATTGTAATGTAGTTAGGTTTTTCAAGAGTCGACCTCAATTTTGTTAACTTTACAAAAAGGGAGTGAAAACGGTTTAGTATTATTATTACTATTTTTTAAGTGTTGTGATTTTTCATCGATCATTAATAAAACCATCTTTTAATTCTTATTTCTTAACATATTATTTGTCCGTGACAAACATTAACAAAGTTAATATTGGTCAAAAGTAAGTCGATCTCTTTTAGAAACTAAAAACTACAGAATTATTTTTTATTAATTAAAAAAAAAATACACCTAAGTATTAGAACAATATTTTTCGTTAGCTATGTTGCTGTTGACAACAAACTCGTAAATTTATTATTTAATCGGATAATTTTTAAAAGACAAATTATACTCTCAAAAATATTGTCGAATTTAAATTCAATATATAAGTATTTCTCACATTACAGCATCTATATTCAACTAGAATATTTAAATTATTAAATAATTACCACCATGTTTGTTAATTAAGTTTGAATCTCTTGTACGTTTGCTTAAATATTTTATGCACTGACTGCCTTAATGATAATTTTTACAGCAGGGTATTACCATAAATAATAATAATAACGATTACGATCTTAAGGTGAATTTTACTAACTGATATAAATATATTTTGTTAAAGTCAATACAAAGAAATATTTGATTTATCAATATTAAAGAAAAAACATAACGTGCTTTATAGTTTATTAGGTTGTAAATTACATGTTTTTTAATTTTTTTCTTTAAAGTGTGCAATAATTATATTACTTGTCGGAGTATATAACCTTAAATTTTTTAACGGTATTGTACGCAATTTTTTTTGTATTTAATCACCTTCACCCTTATAGTTTGACTTGTTAATATTATTATGGCTTGCCCGAGCGTAAGTTGTTTTTGTATACTATGATAAATGATCCGTCCTTGTATTTTTAGAAACAAATTTATTTAGATTTAAATTTTATATAAGCACACATCAGTGTTAGCAGTATTAATTTTTTAATTGTATTTTTAATATATATATATATTTATATTTATTGTTTATAAATGTGATATTTTATTATCGAAAAATTTAACAATTAAAAATGAATTATATATTTATAATAATAACTATATAGTTAAACGTTTTTTTATATTTTGCACTAAAACTATAGCTATATTATAAGAATTGTTGTATTTTTTTTGCTAGTGTTCAATATATCGTTGCAATCATTTTGTATTTATTGTTTACCAAATATTTGACGTAATGTATAAGTTCATAATGTTCTTCACTTAATAATATTTTGTACTTTTTAGTAACCTATTTCTCGTACGATATACTTTTTAATTATACTATAAATTATTATAGACAATAATAATTGAATTTTGTGTACAATATAATCTTAACATATTTTGAAATTTATTTTGTTATTTGACTACATAATAATATTCACTCGATAATCTTAATGTGTATAGTTTATGGAAAGCTGATAAACTTTTACCAGATTTAGAGCAACCAGTTGCCTATGAATACAATCACAATTCAAGGCAAATATCTCAGATCACGTCCAAAACCATACTTGGTCATTATTTAAAGTAATTTTTATTTATAAAATTACTCAAATAATAAATACAATTTAATTATATATTCTAAATAATTGTTTATTGAAATAATAATTTAAATAAAATAATTAACTGAATAACAAATCATTCTAACTATAGTAAAATTAAAATACATGCCTAACTAGGTCCCTAAACTGGGAGGTGGGGCTCAAATATTTCGTAGGAGGCTCTGGTAGCATAGTGCCGAAGATTTTTATATAAAATCAATTATAAATAGTAACTTTCAAATATGGTTTTGTCATGTACACTATTAATTTTCTTATTATTATTTGTCCGTAAAATAATTTACTTCAGTGAAATTTTCAAAAAGAAAATAATACTGCTGGTTACAGGTTAACGTAAACATAATAACACTTGCTAGAGAAAATTTGAGATTAAATTTTAATTTTAAAAAAAGGATAATATATTTTTCGTTTTTTTTTTAAATAAAAACATCAACAATATATTTACAGTTGTAAATGTATTTTAGGGAATTCATTATTTATCAGGGATAAGACATTAATTTTGTCTTAAGATTATTTTAATTATGCTAGATAATATTAAAAATGTTTTCCTTTCAATTTTTTCCTAGAGCTCTAATAACTTTTCAAACGTGATATGATTGATAACGTATATTATATTTAATTAATTTCTTATATTAAGAATTATTTGCTGAACAATTTAACTGGTCTATAACCAGTTTTGGAGAATTACTTTTAAAGTTTAAAATTTAGGACGGAGGTAGCAGTTGAGTAAACCATGTAGATAAAAATGATATAAACGGCACACCAAACCACCTCACAAATAAAAACGTAATAGTAATTATCCAAAACTGATTATCAACCAGTCAAAATGTTAAGGAAATTTTGAAACGTCGATAGAGCTCTAGAAAATACATAGAATGGTAATCATTTAGTAATTTTTAAATATTGTAAAAAAACACAACTACAAAATTGCAATAATTATGTTTAGAGAAAATGAGTATCACGTCCTTAATGAATCACCCTGTACTATAAAATGTTTTTCTTGGGAAAGAGGGACCAAATTTGTGACACCAGTAGCAATGCTTAGGTAAGAAAATAGATATTATTCATAAACTCCAGACGGCAGACCAAAGTCCAAACCAATCCATCCCTCAATCAGCATCTTTAAATTTTCGTAGGTTCATATTTTATCTTATCACCGGCCGTGATAAGAGGGGAAGTTCGTTATATTGTGCCTTATCAGTTGTTATCACCACGTGAATACCAAGAATCAATCTATGTGTTGCTTAAATACAATTTACAGTGAACGCTTGTTCGACAATATTATTGAAAAGTGATGGCCGTCTAAAGCTGAAACTTAAAACTAATTAGCGGTACGTTTTTTGTAAATGACCAATCAATTTTGTAACTTGGCTCATTACTATGTCGGCTGTTAATGTATTGTAGACATCTGACATGCTCGTTGTGTTCTTGGGATGTTTTTTATTGTACTTTTAAGTATCGACTCGCTATGATATGTGATCGGACGTAGAAAACTTAACGCCAGTAAGTATACAAATTAAACTATACGTCATAAATTATGATATTTTATATTATTTTACATGAATCGTTGACTTTGGCTTGGAGGAGTGGGAAAGGTTACACAATATTGCTCAAAACCGTTGTGTAGTTCTATTTGAATTTAAAATATTATACCTGAAGGACAGGTGAAAGTATTATACCAAAATACAAACATTGATGCAATTAAAAATAACTTTATCACAGTTTGCCGAAGACGAAAGATTCCAAAATAAACAAACTGAGACTTTCCAGTGTTATACCTAAATTATTATTTCGTTTTTAAAAAAATAATTAGAAACTTATTGTTTGTCTTTTGACACTTTCTAGAAATTTTTCAGGAGGCAATACAAAATTTTTACACCAACTACTGTCCTGAATTTTTTTTTTGGACCTACTTTCCCGTAAATAATAATAATATTTTAAATAATCTTAGAACTTTAAGAGTTAAACAAATTCATAAAAAAGTTAGTAGATTTGATAAAAACAATTTTTTAAACTGTATTTTTATACTTTTTTGCCGTCAGAAGCGTGTGATGTACCTAATTTTATGTGTTTCATTGATAGTTTTCCGCATTACTTTGTAAATAAAACTATATTGTTGTCTAAAATATTTTAAGTGGATTCAAATTGCAGGTGAAACATCTCTTGATAATATGAGCGATCAATTTGATCTCAACATCGATGATCCCCGCTTCAGAATTACACCCGTGCAACAAATGGCCGCTTCTTGTACCGGAGCTTTAACCACTTCACTACTGGGTTAGTACACAATTTGAGTATTTTATAAAATGTCTACCCGCCTCTACGGCTAATGAAAATAAGCTCGCCCTATGTATGCATAATTTTTTCAGTTACACCGTTAGACGTCATTAAGGTACGTTTGCAAGCTCAAACTAGAATCACAGCTAAAAAGAAATGTTTCTTTTATTCAAACGGTTTAATGGATCACATTTGTCCGTGTGACATATTAAAAAAAAGTCCCAACAATGGCCCATATTACAGAAATGTGCAATGGTATGACAGACCCAGTCATTTTAATGGTACAATTGTGAGTTAACTTCAGCTATTTTAGTGATTAAATTGTTTTATAATGTTTCATTTTCTTGATTTTAGGATGCTTTCAGACAAATAATCAGAAACGAAGGGACCATGTCGTTATGGAGTGGTTTAAGTCCCACACTAATACTTGCATTACCAGCTACTATTGTATACTTTGTGTCGTACGAACAAATACGATGTCGACTTGTTGATTTGATAAGCTTAAAGTATCAGTCAAATATTGATCAAAACCAGCTATTATGGATATCGGCTGCATCGGGTTGTATTGCTCGGTTTGGAGCAGCCACTACGGTTAGTCCGTTAGAACTTGTGCGCACTAAAATGCAGTCAAAGAGACTTAGTTACCTCGAAGTACACGAGGCGTTAAAAAGTCTTCTACACTACCACGGATATAAAGGTCTGTGGAAAGGTCTCGGGTCAACTTTACTCAGGGATGTTCCGTTTTCTGGTAAGTTTGAGGTGGATCTATATTTACTATTGATATTCTAACATTACAAATTTGTAATTCGTCAGAAAACTTTTTATTTACATCAAAACAAAATGTATCATTGAATATTATATCATCTATTTGATACAAAATTGTAATTATTTATTTTACAAACAATTCTGTGAAATCTTTCTTGAATACCAATGTCAGACACTATAATTAACTACAATTTTTAATTACAGTTACTTTGAAAAACTTCAAATTTTTAATATGATATATTATGATTTTTAAAACTAATCTAGATCTAATACTTGTTTATATGTATTTATATTTCTATACAAACTTTTGTAAGTCTTAATTAAGTTATTTTACATTTGTAGGAATTTATTGGTTGACGTACGAAAAAATTAAACAGTTATCTGGGAAACAAACCACGTTCATGTACAATTTTTTAGCTGGAATGATAGCTGGCGCGGTAATAAATGATTAAATTTATATTAGATGACGACTTGTTTCAGTGTTGAATTATATTAATAGAGAATTATTTTTAACACTGTAGTTTGCTTCAGCAGTAACAACACCTTTCGACGTTGTTAAAACTATTAGACAAATCGAGTTAGCTGAGAAAGAAATCATAGCAGGTTAGTCCTATTGAATAAATCATTGTGCTTATTTTGTTTTGCCGAATCACTTATTACTTATCAGTTACAATAGAGCCACCAGGAAAAGCGCCATATTCAACGTTTAAAACACTTGGAGACATATACCACAGGAATGGCGTACGTGCAATATTTAGTGGCCTAACTCCTCGGATAATCAAAGTAGCACCAGCGTGTGCAATAATGGTATCTACGTTTGAATACGGAAAGATGTTTTTCCAAAATAGAAATATGCAATATTACAGAGGTAATTAATATTTTGTCGTATTTTTTGTATTAAAAATATGATGTGACCAATGCGCCCAACAATATGTTATAGTAATAGAGAAGTAATATTTATTTACCATCAGCGTTGTATTTTATTGTGAAAGTTACCATGACAATGACAATTAAAAAAAAAAAAAAATGTAATATTATTAAAATATTGCGTTACTTATTAGTTATTACACTGATTATTTTGTTTTTTTTAAATTTAAAAACAAAATTATCCTTTAAAAATAGGATCAGCCGCATAATTCTTTGATAAAAAAAAAAAGTTAAAAAAAACCCGAATAAAAGTAATATAAAAATTTCCAGTGGTGTAGTCATACAGCGTATACATAACTGAATATTAATGATGATTTGGGCATCACTTTAAAAACCTTAAGGTCGTCTCGCTCAGGTGTGCATCTTTAATCATTTTCGGGATAATGTTGAGAGTTTTGTTTTAGGTGCTCTTCTAAACCCTTCATTTGTTCCCTGTATTACAAGAAATGTGCATTATTTGTTTTGATCCCTAACACAATGAGTAAATGACGAGTATCGTCATGTAAATTTACGACTTACATAAGATGTTCTGGGAGTTCATCGTAAACATCATAAAACATTTGCCTCCAGTCGGGTTTTTTTTTCTTCGATGCTATCGTGAAAGTTTGCATTAACTTTAGAAGACAAATCATAATTAAAAATAATTGTATAGTTCAAATGTAATTCATAACTGACGTGATAATTTATATTTACCTTCTTTTTAGTATCACTTGCGTACTTTAAATCATCTTGGTCATTCCAAAGGTTTTTTTTTTCTAAAAATAATTTTAATCTCCTGATAGGATTTTTACTTGCCCATTGTTCCATTTCATCTTTAGACCGGTAAGCGGTACTATCGTCTGAAGTACTATGATGACCCCTCCTAAAAATATATATACACATATAACACAAAGATTAAGTAATGTCGATAACATTATAAAAACTGAACTTTATATTTAAAAATGTATATAGTTTGTAAAAACCTGTATGTCATGGCTTCAAATATTAACGGTCTGGTATTAGTCATCACGTATTGTCGTGCTTTCACCATTGCGTTGTAAACTGCCAATATATCGTTTCCATCGACACGTACCGTAGCAATTCCATAGCCGGGTCCATGACTTACGATACCATCTCCTCGAAACTGCTCGTTGGCCGGGGTGGATATTGCGTATCCGTTATTACGGCTGAAAAAAATAGTTATTAAGAATAATTATTGAATGAAATGGAAACACATTACTAGGTACTAGTATTTTGAATTACCAAACAAAAATTACGGGACACTCTAGAGTTGCTGCAAAATTAAACGCGGCGTGTGCGTCTCCTTCACTTGCGGCTCCTTCGCCAAAGTACACGACAGTACATCGACCGTTATTGAGCCTTTTGAACGAATATGCTGAACCCACGGCTAAAAAGCTATATATAATTAGATATGCAATTTAAAAATGTAGTTTTACTAAATAAAAACTGTTGTCAGAAACAACTATACCTTGAGGTAGTTGAGTGGTTAGCGGAGATGATATAGTTACAAAATTCTCCGTTTTTGATCCATAATGTACCGGCATCTGTCTTCCTTTGCCTTCATCGTCAATATTACCGAAACATTGATTCATAAAACGTTCAGGTGTAAAACCTCTGTATAATAACACTCCTAAAATAAAATAAAAACTTGCCTGTATTGTAAAATTGTAATAATGATTGTAAACGAGTACATGTAGCAAATTATAAGTTATATGTTAACTGTGTTCGTACCTGCTTCACGATATTGGCCATATATCAGATCATCGGACAGTAATCCTGCAGCACTGCCAATCTGCACTGCTTCTTCGCCTTCATTAGTCATGTAAAATGATATTCTCCCTTGTCTTTGTGATTCATATAAAAGCTTATCCATGACTGATAGTAAAACCATTGATTTGTACATTTTGAGCAGTTCTTCATTGTTTGGGACCTAAATAATTTTAAATTAATGTATTTACACATATGAATATTACTCAATTTAGATAAACAACATTTAATATACAGTTTACTCACAATAATTGCTTCGGCCGATTTATTCAATTCTCCTGCACAGTCCAAAACTCTAAAAATTGGTGTAGTTTTTAAACTGGACGGCTCAAAAATATCTAATTTATTTGTGTAAGTAACTTGTTTAATTCCTATATGTTTTGGTTGTTCTAAATTAGTTGATGTACTACTTTTGAACTTGATGCATTTCTTCTAAATAAAACAAATAACGCATAGATGAGTATTCAATGGTAATACATGGATAATATAGAGGAAGTGGTTTCATTTCCACTACGAATAAGCAAAGAGTCCGAAACGTAGGTCAACAACCATTAATACGGATATATCTGAAAATCATCCACGTTATTCGACAATTTTTATAAAAGTTATTGAGCGAAGTAATTTTAAGTTGAAAATTAGTACTTTTTTCTCGATTTTGAAGGGGAGGAAGGGGTTACTTTTTAAAATGTTTGGCCGAATAGAGTATCTTACTGGTACAATTTCCGATCTACAGAGTTGCTACACGAAGAAATCAGTTTAGCGGTTTAAACAATTTCGTGGGCCCAGACACAAAAATAAATAAATAAAAATACATCATTGTAAAAACAATACCTTCTCAGTTCTCAGCTCCTCATCGGAGCTACAGAATAAAATTATAATTCTATCATTAATCATATTTTATAATATGATAAAAATAAATTTTAAACCGAAAAAAGGGATTTCCACTTAATATGTATTTACAATAGCTTGGAATAGTAAATAGTAAATTTTCTTTATCATTATTTATTAATTAATAAATCATTTATTTTCGAATGTTGCCTAGTTAAATACTCTTTAAAACTGCAAGAATATATGTGTAAAAAAAATATACAAATAATTTTAAAATCGAGAGAAATAGGGAGGTGTATTCAGCTTTTCACATCTACCAACCTAATTTGTGTTGTAGGTATAAATACACAGACCACAGTTACGCATACAGATAGGGAGGGGTGGGAGTCCGAACCCTTCAGTCTTCATGAGAAAAATTGCCCGGGTATTATATTTATTATAGTTTTAAAACAAACATGAATATTTAATATGAAAATTATAAGTGTTTAATAAAAAAAAGTTAGTTTATTTAGAGCCTAAAGGCTAAAATTGTAAAACGTGGAACATGCTTTAGCCTGCTGGCTCCTGAATAATGATTAGTTCTGACCTATAATCTCCTTGTGATTTATGATGATAATATAGTCTTGATTTAGGGTCGTTTTCGGGGTGGGGGCCATACTAGCATGTTCCATGCTAAAAACATTTAAAACATCATTAGCTGTATTTATATTATATAATTACTCTGAATGGTAAATAATTGAGCTTCAAAAAACGATTAACGTTCATCTTTGGAATATCTCTTTCTCTGCGTTTTATAAACACCCAAACAGTGACATGTAAAAACTACCAAATAAAATTATTTAAACAAATATTTTAGTGGCACGATTTTTGAGTGAACACACCGACTCGCGCACCGTAGTATGAAATATATACACTTTTGATACTAATAAAATATGAATGAAATGATTTCCGACACCTGTTACCTGTCGATTAAAGGCTATCGATACGGTATCTCAATGGCCGATGAACTCTCCCCCCCTCCTTAGCACCATTGTTGCTATACTTTCAAAAACTTAATAATCAATAATCTAACTCTCTGGCCTCTGCTGTCACAGGACACTGATAAGTAAAATATGAGTCTTGTAAAACAAACATTTAACATTATTCTTGTAATTATCATCATGTGGGTATTATGATACTGAATACTGATATTATGAAAATGATAAATCTAACGGTATGTATATCGATACTATTGAAAACATCGACTTCGGCCATTCAAATTTTACCTTGAAAATTAATTTCTGATATAAAAACAATTGAGTATTGCCAGCTTGTATTTAATACTTCATGATTGACCGTAGTATAAGTTACAGTGATAAGTATAATTTTAGTATACAAACCGTGTAACTTATGAAAAAAAAATAAGATAGATTCAAATTAAGTTGGTATTCCTATATATTCGTTTTTGAGGGAGTGATTAAAAATATTTTTTACAATTGAACTTTTTCTTATTGTACTTACTACTTACATTGTAATACAAATTTAGTAATAAACATTAAAAATATTATATAAATTATGGCATTCCATTAAAAATGTTGCTTATTAGTTATTACTAATGTAACTAGAGTCTATGAAAATGAAAGCCCTTCAAATTAGAAAGTTTAATGCACGTTACTGGTGACAATATTCGCAAATTTTATGGTTAATCAAATCGCAACTTACATATATTATATAATCATAATGAGTACCTAATAAAGCTTGCTAAAATTATATACTGGCTTCTAGTAATGTATAGAATAGCCAATAGGTAATTGAAAAAGTAGCATTAATTGTACTACTTAAGGTGCACATCGTGATTTTACTTGTTTTTTTAAACTATTTTTACTATTTTTTTTTAATTGTTCATTGTAAAATTCAATTACATTTATCAAAAATTACTAAACTGACAACATTTTAAGAAAAACGGACTTAGTTGAATAATTGAAAAAATTTGACAATTTAACAAAATGGTTAATAACTGCCATGAGTTGTTTAAAATACACTTTGGAAATTATAAACTTCATAATTCAAAGACATCATAATATTATAGTCATCGATGTTTTTGTTCATGTTTTAGGTATTTCAACAGTTTCAAGGAAATGGTAAGATCTATATTAGTTTGATAGATTTAATTATACAATGTAGTTAGAACTACGTGATGAAATTATACAATTAGGTATCTAATTAAAAAAATATTTTTCCAGGATATTTCATTATTTTCTGAAAAAGATTTTAATCATAATTTAAGTGTGACAAACGTACCGGGAAAACGTTCGGCTGGCCGTGTTGGCTGCACTGATGCCGAACTGACGCCATCGCCTGGCGGTGTCCCGAGAGTCCGGTCGGGTTTGTTGATTCGTTTGTTGTTGTGACTTGTGTTTGTGCGAAGTGAAGTGGCACGATTTAGTGTTGTTTTTCGATACGCGGTCGTCTTGTTTATGTGGTGTGTGTGTGTATACGTGTTTGTGTGTACTGTGAATTATAATAACAAAATTAAAATATAATATACGTTTCGCGTAGGTACGGCGGAAAATAATTTGCAACGTTCGTGTCTTGTATCATACAAGTAAAAAAAAAATTTAAGTAAAATAATCGTCTCTCTGTGCCGAACTTTGGTCGGCGTTTTCATTTACCGTGTGTTATGGGCGGAACGACGCCGAATGATATTGGTCGGTCTAAAGAAGCGGTGCCGAACGTCTGTTGTTGCTGAACGAATCCTAGGTAAACAAGCACTTGGCACAGGCCAAAAGCTGTGTACGATCGCGTTATGCCGTTGATCTAACCGTTTTGCGTCTTGTGATTTGTCTGTTTTTTCCACCCCGTGTCCGTGTTAACCACAATAGGCTCATAGTTTTTTAGGCAACGAAATTGTCGATTTAGTGAAAAAGATCCAGGTCCGCCAATAAGGCGGCCCAGACAGGTAGTTAAAAAACCAACAAAACAACAGTTGTTTATGTTATGTCTACGGTACACCTGTTCTGCCGTCGTTGTGATTAACGACAAATATACACCGAAATTGCTTTTCAATCCCTCGATCACAGACATACCTATCACCAACAAAGATTCAGTAATAAATTGCTTGACCACAGAAGCATTATATATAAATAACATTTTTTTTTTTTTATAATTTAAATATATGTCTTAGATGGCCAGTGATCGCTAAAATAGAAAAATGTTACATTTTCCTTATACTGTGATTGACAAACAATCATATTAGGTGTTAAATGAAACATTAAAATCATAAAAATAGTGACCTATAATTGGTTAATTAACAACCATTAAATTGATTAATTTTGTTTCTATTATAGTGTTTTGTCTATATCACAATAATTTCTTAATGAATTCTGTGATATTGTTTTTTTAGATTGAACTTTAAATATTTAAAATGAACAGTGTTGGTGCTATGAGTTCTCCAGTAAAACAACCATTACCACCTACGGTGTTGGCGCCACCTAATATTTCAACCACAACCACCTCGCCATCCAAAGTACAACCACCGCCAAGTTTAACACCGCTCAACTTGAATACTACGGCCCAGGCTGCTCAACCCTTAAGCTTGGTGAATGAACACAAAACTGCACTGACTGTCGTTCCATCCCCCATAGTGAATTCGGTCGAAACAACTGTTCAAAAATCCTCTTCTTGCAATGGTGTGTCTGAGGCAAAGACAATTGAAAAGAAAGCCGCCGAACCACCAAATGCACATCAACAAACAACTAATACGAATATAGTCACTTTAAAAAACATTATTGAACCGCCGACAGATGTTAAAATAACTGCTTCGGTTCCTGCACCTAAAGCCGAAAATTTATCTCAAAAGAAAGAAGAAAAAACAACGATCTTGCCCCCTAAAAAAGCAGACACGGTATTGCCCAATGTCAAGGCCCCTGTTAATGAAGTGGCCAAATCTGAAAGTGGGTCCGAATCTACAGTCGTGAAACCAGTAGAGAATGAGTCCAAAGTAAGCCAAGAACCAACAGAAGCTCAAACTGCAGCAAAATCTAACCAAGAGCAAGTGTCTTCTGTTACCGTTTCCGCAACACCAGAGAAAATTGAACAGGGATTGCCAAACATTTCAAAAGTCGCAGCGGGAAAACGAAAAAGAGAACACAGAGTAATTGTTTCAGTTACTATTATCCAAATTCACTTACTAATTTTAAGCATACATTTTTTAATTATTTGTTTCCTCATTTTAGCAACTAGAGAGTGAAAAGGAAGAAGTAAAAGACAAAACATCAAATAAAGACAACCCAACCGAAGAGATAAAATCAAAACGTACTAGGCTTCCTACACAACCTTTCCAATTGTCTTTACCACCTGAAATTCAGCTTATGACAAAAATTGCAACAAAATCTGCATCTTCTTCCAAAATAAATAATGAAAAACTTACTGTCTTTTACAAGTAATTAATTTGGTTAATTTGATTATTTGTTCCATACTTGTCACAAAATACACTTTCACATAATCAATTTAACATTACTAATGCGTTTTTAGGAATGAGTTTTTGGCTGTACGCAATGAAGAGGGTGGATTTTACTTGTGTCAAGCCATGCAAAATATACATAGAGCCAGTCGAAGAATACGAATTCGATGGCTAGCACAAATTCCTAATGATGAATTTAAACCAGATTTTTACGACCATACAGGTGAATTATTGTTTCAAAAAGTAATTTCTAGAAGATAAATTTCCACTTAGATCAATATTAACAGTAAAATTACCATATTTTCACAATACATAGAAAAGAACTCTTATTTGTCACAGTTTTTTTTTTAATATTTCTACTCACCAACTTTAAATAAACAAAGAAGAAGAAAAACAATCTTAACGTCCTCTTAAATAGTTTTTAATATATTTATTAATTTAAATTGTTAAACATTTTATTGTAATTGTCAACAGTTTAATATTATTATCATCTTAAGTCCAATAATTATAACATAAAAAATGAAAACATTAAAACAGATATCTATTATTAAGGTCTATAATTTTATGTGTTATCTTGGGCTGTATATTTATATGGCTTTTAACAATGTTATTTATTTTCTAATCTCAAATTTCAAGTAAAAGAACGTTGTCAGAACAACGTGTAGTGCTAGTATTAATCTCGATTTCCTTAAAGGATCATAACACAAAATAATGATACATTTTAATAAATACCGTCATTTTATATCTTATCTTAATTATACGTTAGCAATAATTCTTTATTATTGTTGTTAGCTCATGTAATGCTGTCTGAAAAAACAATTATGTTTCCATTAATCATTTAATTAAAAAAACAGTAATTGCATGGACGCCATTCATTCTTTCTTTTTCTATCTTTTATAAAATCACTATTGATTGTTATGGTTAAACTTAATTAAAATTGTAGTTTTTCTAACTTAAAATGTTATTTTATTGTTAAATAATATCAAAAATAGTAATCTGGGATAAATGAATATTTTTTTATTTTCTAATAGTTTATTTGTTAATAAATGTATTAAACATTTTTTTCATAAAGTGGGTATTTTTCTTTTTTACTCTGAAATGTCTCAACACTGTATTGGTTTAGAACTCACTGGTTTCTTGATGATTGTAATTAATTTCTTTTAGAATTTGATTGTATATTGACCAACATAACATTGAAAAAAGTTCAAAAAGAACAATGGAAACTTCCAGAAAAAGAAAAGTTGAGAATTGAAAACATTCTTAAACGATCAATTGATGTTGAAAAAGGATCTGAAAAACCTTCAGTAACTGAAGAACATCCCGATGGGTGTAAGTGCTGTAGAACTATGATTAGATGTTATTTATCCTTTGTCCCGAGTTATATGTATCGACTGACTTATTTTTATTTTTAGTGGATGTAAGTTTGTATAAAGATGAAGCTCAACTCACAAAGAAAAAGAAAAGCATAACTGTCAAAAGAAAAGTATCAACAGACGAACAACAACCTGTAAAAAAATCGTCCAGGTTGTCCAAGAACAGACCGTCCTATGATTTCGGACATTCGTCATCAGAAAGTGAAGATGAAGAAAGTGACAATGACGATACTAAGGATAATAAATCCAGCAAAACTAAACCTGTACCAAAAAAAGTTGTCAAAAAAAAACCTGCTGTTAAAGAACCACCTAAAAAATCAACTGGAAATGTTTCTAAAAAGTCCGTCCCAACCAAAAAATCTCAAGCGCCCGTGAAGCCTACGTATGTGCTTGCTTCAGTGTCATCAGCATTAAAGAAAAGAGAAATTAGCGCGACAAAACAAAAGAAGGAAGCCGTAGCAGAAAAGAAACCTTCCAAAAAAGTCGATCAGAAATCTCCAGCTGTACCTCTTCCGTCGGAAAGATCTTCAAAAACTAGAAGTAATTATGAATTATTGTTGTCTGTGGTGTAGTCGTGGAATGTACGATGTGTGGTGTACCTGCGTCATAGAGTACACCATAGTAGTAAATGCGTACTTAAAAAAGTAAGAGGCGAGTACAATCGGATTATACCTTCACGAGTATACCACTGGTTTTTGTTTAAGATTTTAATGAAATCTACTAATTTATTATTTTTTCTTTTTGTATCTGAATATGTGTATTGTTTTATATTCTTAGATGCTGGAAATGCAGTCACGGCGAAAATAACTACAGCTGGTATTGGAGTGGTAAAAAGCAACTCGAACAGCAATCTACCTCCTCTTCCTTCGAAGGATCGTAAAGCAAGGAATCGAAAATAACAAACTTCGTTGTATTACACTTTGTAAGTAAAACAAGTCTACTTCTTTGAACAATAAGAATGAAATCAACTAAACTTTTTTTTTTCTAAATTAATAGACTACACTTTTTTTATGTTCGACATATACCATATCACGTTTTGTTTTGATGTGTTAACAATAGACACATTCTTGTTTAACTTTTATAATTTTATATTATTTTTTTTCGTTTATTATGATTAATAGAATTTTTTTTTTTTTTGTATTTAAGTTTTCAGCATGGTAAGCATATTAAATAATTATGGTAGGTAATAAACCACCAGCTATTGATTATTATTAGTCGACCTAAAAATCAAAAGCTGTTAGGAAAATTTAATTTTAATTTTACATGTTCAGTTTTAACTAAGAAGGTGTCAATAAATGTGTTTAAATATTTGGTTGTGACCGCTAGTGTGTGTACGTCTCATTTTTAAACAAATTTTTAACCATAGATGTTGGTTTATATTATTTATTAAAAGCAATAATCCAATTTTATTGCATCTATTTTGTGTACTTTTTTACGGTCATAATTCATAAGACAGTGTTTACATTATGTATATTAATTTTAGTTTTTATTAAGATACTTAAAACGGTATAATTGTTGTAAAATGCTTTTGAGCACAATAATTTGTTTTGAAATAAACTCTGAAAATCGTACCTATAAATAGTTTTCTTTTTAATTGACATCTTTAATTGTAATGTTGAACTAACGTAATGGTTATTTTTATCTTTGTGTTATTGGTTTTTGATTTATAATGATGATATTTATAAAATTAAATATTTGCTGCACTCTTGTTAGGGACATTATTAATTATACAAACTCCTCTCATTTTATGCACTTCAACTTGAATAATATACCTTTCTATTTTAAAAATCTTAATCACTACTAAAAAATGTTTGATTGGCTACACTTATTGTAAATACGAATACATACTATACCTTCTAAACGAGAAGCATTATAAATTAATGTTAGTTTTACATTTTTGAAATTTTATTAGTTTTAATTTCAAATCAATATTACATTTATTTAAACAAATATGTATATCTATATTTTGAGCGACGTGGGTTTGCCATATACTTTCAATTGTATATATTTTTTTTTATTAATTATTAATTACTTTTATTGTCATAAGACTTTTTGTGTGCGCGAGTGCTGTAAATAACCAAGAATTGTAGTGTTCTGGTCTCAGCGTTAACTTGCTTTGATGTTGTTTGTAAATGTATCAATATTTTTTTTATTTCAAATGCCTAATATGTACGCACTAGAAAAAATAAAGTAATTTATTAAATATTTACCAATAATAATTATATTATAAATAAATATATATATATATATATATATTTTAATTATATAAAAATAACATACAAAATTGAAAATGTACAATTTAATTGTATGAGAGAAACTATTATTGTAAATATTATAAGAAATATAATTATATTTTAAGTGAATCATACAATATAATATATGCAAACATTTTATTGTACGTACAAATATTTGTGTTAGTGTTTTTCGGTATTGCTGTTATTTTTTAACAGATTGTTCAAATTAAGTTTGGCCACCTTGGGCACATTTCTAACCGTCAAAGATATGCGTGTATCCCTTGGCAATATTATTTTTCCTTTTTTAGTGTCCAACCCACAAGACTTGATATTCAAAAGTGTTTCATCCACTATATCTTCTTTGATCTCTTCAATGCCGTGCAGATAATCATTGTACATACTTTCTCGCAAAATGAGCAGACTTCTTCTTTCTAAATATATACTGTACACTTTTTTATTTAACAATGTACCATTTCCTCCATCTTGCTGCAAAATGTAATATTTATTAAAAAATAAAATCCCAGTTCGACAAAATATACCTTTGGTGCAGCGTAAAAATTGAGGATGGTGTGAGATCCACAACTGATTGTTGTAACTGTTGGATAAAATAGACTTCCGTCCAAATGAGGCTACATTTTTTGAGTGCAGGAAACATTAACAATAATTATAAGTCGCAGGCTAAATAAGTTATAAATAGTAGGTTAAAGTTCAACTAGCCAAAATTACTGCAAACACATTTAGTAACACATAAAAAAATTGCATTGTTTTATATTGTAAAACATGTTGAAAAAAACATTACCATAATTCCTTGGCCAGGTAAATATTCATTTACTAAAACATGGTTCGGTTGATTGGTCGAGGGAAACACACCAAGTCTATCGATTTGTTTGACAAATCCGTTTAACCACTATATTCAATAAATCAAATGATATTTTATGATTTTTCCTACTGAACTTATACTATGTATTACTCACGTCTGGGATTTTTTCTGGTATCAGTCCCTTAGCGTGAGGTATACCACCCCAATTTTGGAGTCTTCTATTTTTCAACTGAATCCACTTAGGCTTGGGGGCTGAATTTACTTTTTCCACGATATAACTTTCTTGTTCTTCGGTTAAGAAATTTGGCATGTAATAGGCACTATCGCAAGCCTGTAGTCAGAATTTTTTAATTAATTAATGTTGGATTATTTTTGAAAGTACTATGATTCTAAAGTACTCTTTATTCTATTAAAATTTGTGCAAAACTTACATTACATAATTTGTGGTTTTTCAAATTAACAATAGCCATTTCAAAAACAATATGTTAATACTCTTATTTTGATTTTAAAACGCAAGTACTCGATCTACTTGATGCTAGTTTAAAGATTTAACATTTAAGTGTAAACTTTTTTTATTTATTCATTCTTTTTACATAGCTGTCTTTTTTTTGTTATCAATTACAATATTATGATAACGACACATATCAATGTTATTATAAAAAAACACTTCATGCTACCAACCAAAGTTGTAACCGTGTTACCAACCTTTAGATCATATCAATCGGTAATCATAAATATTATTTGAATTCAAATAACTAAAATAAAAATAATATGTTTTCTTCACAGGCCAAAGGGCAAGGTCTTGTTTCCAAGTTGCATCTATATTCTATATTCTATTATATTTCTACTTCCGTATAGTAAAATATATACTGTTTGAAACATTAAATTTTTGTATAAGTTCATTTTAATCAAACATTGATTTTGTAAAACTATAAAATTACCAAAACTAGAATATTCTCAATTTTCAATTACTGAATTACTTACCTATAACCTACTAATTCAAGGTTGTTGATTAAATTCAGTTGCATAAGTTGTATAAAAAATTACCAACAAGTAACAATGGGGCTCTTAACCAAAAAGGTATATATGCTTAACATAGTTGTTTAAATTGTATATTTTATTCTACTTCATTTCAACTATAATATTAATTATTTAAATATTTAAACAAAAATATACTTGACTAAAGATTCATTTTTTTACCTCGATAATCATATAGATTTTCGTGAAGTCTGCTAAAAGATATATATCGACGTCATCAGTCATGTTGAAAGATGTATTTATTGTTAGCGTAGCGCGAACTCCAATTGGCTCTTTCGGAGGGTCTCTGAAAAGTTTGTCTGCTACCAAACTATGCGCTGTAGCAATTCAGGTACTTGACTATGGAAATTACTACAGAGAATTTATCGTTTAATATTATTTTCTACTTAGGCTGCTGTCGAGCGGTCTGGTTTTTCCAAAGACGACATACAAGAAGTATTTTTGGGCAATGTGTGTCAAGGTGGTGTCGGACAAGCACCAGCTAGGCAAGCAACAATATTTGCCGGTAAGTTTACGATGGATGTAATTTGATTTGATTAATAATTAAAACAAAAATATCCTATTTGGTTTCAGGATTACCTAAATCTACCATTTGTACAACCATCAACAAAGTTTGTGCTTCCGGCATGAAGTCCATTATGTTAGGTTCGCAAAGTTTATTGTGTGGCCATCAAAATATCATTGTTGCCGGAGGCATGGAATCCATGTCGAACGTACCATTTTATCTAGCAAGAGGAGATACAAAATATGGCGGAGTTAATTTATCGGTTGTTTTTTCATTAGGTGACATTTATAACATTCAATAGTCGCTTTAATTAAATATTGTCTTTTTATCGAAGGATGGAATAGTTTTCGACGGTTTGACCGATGTCTACAATAAAATACACATGGGAAGTTGTGCAGAAAATACTGCCAAACAATGTGGCATAACGAGAGATCAGCAAGATGAGTTTGCCATAAGTAGTTACAAAAAAAGTGCTGAAGCTTGGAAACAAGGTGCTTTTTCTGAAGAAATTGTACCCGTTAATGTACCTCAGAAAAAAGGTCTGTGTTAAAAGCTGAATGTCTTATGAAAATGTTATACATTTCATTCTGAAACTTTTTTTTAATAACAATAAATAATACTTTTTTTCTTCTAGGCAAACCTGACTTAATCGTATCGGAAGATGAAGAATTCAAAAGGGTTGATTTTGATAAGTTTAAGAAATTAAACACTGTTTTCCAAGTAATTTTAATATCATATCTTTATTTCAATGTTACATCCTAACTGTCATTTTCAGAGAGATAATGGAACGGTAACTGCCGGTAATGCATCGACAATAAACGATGGTGCAGCAGCCTTAGTGTTGACTGACGAAGTGACTGTTGCGAAAACCAACGTGAAACCTTTAGCGAGAATTGTTGCTTTTGAAGACGGTGCTACTGATCCAATAGACTTTCCGATAGCTCCAGCAGTTGCCATACCAAAAGTAAGTTTTGTAGAACCCAAAGAGTCCACATCAGACTTATGTTTTATTCCATGTTATCTTCTTTTTTTTTTTTTTAGTTATTAAGTAAAAGTGGACTGTCCATTAATGATATCGCATTATGGGAAATAAATGAAGCGTTCAGTATAGTCGTTTTGGCTAATATACTCAAACTAGATATTGATCCGACCAAAGTTAATATTCATGGCGGTGCCGTCAGCTTGGGTCATCCTATTGGGTAATTATAAATAATAATGGATACCAAAAGTATTGAACAATTTACTCATTAATTTTTAAATTGAAATTTAGTACACAAAAGTACTGCAGCCCCATCTAATACAGTCTTTAAACGTGTTTATATCAGAATCAAATTTGTCAAAACTGTGGGTGAAATAAAGAAAAAAACCATTTGATCAATTGATTAGTTGAATGAAATTAACTTCTAGTGCTTAAAAACGTATAAAGTCACAATTAATTTTTAAAAATATTTGCATAAAATGTTTTTAGAATTTTAAGTATTTTTAATAAAAAGTAGCATTTTAAAAAAAAAAATTGTAAACACTTTTTTACTCTTTTTGTTTATGTGTATTTAAAATTAGGCTTAAATACTTTTAACTTTTACTGTTAAATTCCCAATACAAATATTTATTTAAACTATTCATTCCTTGGGTTTAGTTTGTAATTTTTTGTTTTGTTATCTGTTAAGAATTTTTAAAACACAACATTGTGCAACTAAAGACCTGTCATGTATTTAAAAAATATTTAAATTAAATTCACTTCTCAACTTAGCATCGTGACTAAAACATAAAATTAAAAAACAAATCTTTTTTGGGGCAAACTTAAAAAATGTTTTTTTAGTATTTAAATATTACAATTTGTATGTTTTACAGCATGTCAGGTGCTAGAATTGTAATACACTTGGCTAAAGCTCTGAAACCCGGACAAAAAGGAGTAGCTTCGATTTGCAATGGCGGTGGCGGAGCATCATCAATTCTCATAGAACGGTTGTAATAAAAAAAAAAAAAATGTTAAAATTTAGTTTAAATTTACCTTTTGGCCTTTACCAGCAATTTTGCCAATGAAGTAATTGCGTGGGACGACTGAGACATATTTTTAAAATTTAAAATCGTGATAAATACGTTATTGATATTATTTTGCAATTATATTTACAAGTATGTAATTTTACAAATAAAAAAATATTATTGTTTTGCACAGATATCTGTTATTTACAATTTGTTTCGAAGGCTTGATTGCGTTTAAAATAATCTTTGGTGTTTCCAACGATAGTATCGATTAATTTGTGTGCTCTACAGCTATCTAACATTCTAATTTTTAATTCCGCAATTTTCAACTGACCTTTATTTCTTAACTTTATCGGTTTTGTTTTTAACATAGTAAATACATTGATTAACCAACTGTCATCATCTGAATACGACTAAATAAAAACCAAACAATTATATTAGATTTACGGTTAAATTAGTCGCTGAAATATAAATACTTACCGCGGGGACATGACAGTACATGAAAATAATTCCATTTTTGTATGCAAAAAGTAAACAAGGGATGTCTCCGTATGTACGGGTTACTTCATCAAAATTAATTCGGTTATCATTAAAGTAAAAATCATTAACGTCCACACTACCGACCACACATTTTTCATCATATAATTTTCTTAAATCATTTTCAAGAAGTTTCCTATAAATAAAAATACATGTTTAAATACTGGGCGAAATTACTAAGACAATATTTTAATATTATGTTGTACCTTTTTTCTTCTTTGAATACATTTTGAAATTTTCTTTCTAAAGACAATATTTTTTTATCCAATTCTATTTTATTTTTTAAAGGTATATGCTTTTTCAAATTTTTTTTTAACTCTAATTTTATATCATTAATTTCCATAACGGCTTGTTGAATCTAAAAAGTTTTTAGATATTTTAATTATTAAATTCTTTAGAAGGATAAATGTTCTATTCAGTACCTTTGATGGTGTTGTGTTGCTTGCATAAATCAAACTCACAAATTTGTCGATTTCTATCAATTTGTTCAACAACTCGACACCGTACGATTTAGCACGAATGCACAATGGCCCGGTCACGCCGACCAAAGTGCATTCCTTATTAGTAGATTTATAATGGACAATACAAAAATCAATCAAGTCCGATGTACTGTTAACATGTGTTCCGCAACAAGCTTCTCTAGAAAAATATGAATCATCTTCATATATGTCTATCACATGTACTTGAGCGTCCGGATAAATTTCTCCCGGAATCAACTTTACGTCAATTTCATTTAAATCGTTTGACGACATTGTAGTTCTTTTAACAGACAAGGCTAATTTTATTATGTCATTGATTTTTTGTTCGACCGCTAAAGCATCTGTGAAGCCAAATTATGTACTATTTAAAAATCAACAAATATACTTTTAAAAAAAAAAATTTACCTTCCGGAGTAAACTTTTGACCAAATAGTTCAAATGTAAATGACATTAAGTCTTTTTTTACACTGCTCGAAGTTTGACAAGTGACGACTAAATATGAATTCAACACAGCATTTAATATGTGTACAGACGAATGTGATCGCATCAAGCCAAGCCGGTGATCAATATCAATTTGGAGGAATAATTCTTCTTCACTAAAATTGTTTTCTAATTAATTATATGTTCATTAAATGTAAAGTTTTTGAACAAATATTCCTAGCAGAGTTGTGTATATATTATTTCTTTTATCTAGGTGAAACAATTAAATTTTTCTAACACTGATTTTTAAAGTAGTTTACTTTATTGCTAATTTTTAAAAAATGAATATCAAAGAGCGTCTTTAAATTTAGTCACTGCGCCACTACAGACAAACTAACTGTGAAGAATGACTCGACAAATAGTTTAAAATTACTACAATATAATTTACTTACCCAAACAGCAGCGGCCAGTCTTTGGACTTGATATAATGCAGTATAACACCATTTTCTTGAATTTTTTCTACATTGATAACATGAAACACAAGCCCACTCTTTGTCTTCACAATGCCAATGTCGTTTTCCTGTCCTCCGGCTTCACAATAAAAGTTGGTTTTGTCAAATATCAAAGAAACAACGTCATCTCTGTTGTGTTCACTAATGTTGTACTCTTTAATGACGATGCCATTTTTATCGATAACTGCTAAAAGTTTAACTGGTATTGCTGGTGAAATATTGTAACTTTGATTATCTTGACAAAATATATTGTACTTCAAGCCATCATCGGTTGCAGGAAAATTGTGCATTAAGTTATTAATTTTACTTGTGTTGCGAATACAATGTTTTGTTTTAGATTTCAATGCTAAAAGCTTATCGTTAAATTCATTCCAATCAACTGGCATGTCTAAATAATAATTTAAAAAAAAAATTGTTTATATATTTATATTCAGTAGGACTTTCGATATTGTATTACCAGTAGCTTTGGCTAACTTTTCTATCGTCTGAACATCTAAACCAAATGCGTCATACATAGTAAAAGCTGGAATTTGCAATATATCGTCATGTTTAACGAGGTAGTTACAAGCAGGAACAAAGCCAGTACACTCCTCATAAGGATTGAATACCGTAAGGTTAGGCAAACGACCAATTACGTAATGCCATTCTTTGGAAACCGATTTCCTCAGATTGTCAAAAACGCTGTATTCGTGTTTGAGTAATTGTTGTACCTAAAAATATAAACATTAATAAAAAATGTATTTTTTAATGTATAAGTTATTCAAAATTAGATTAAAAAACCTTTTCTAAATTTCGTCTTATCTCTGGATACGTATCTCCAAGACAATTCGATACTTCATTGGCGATACTGGACATTAGACCGAATGCAGGTTGAACTTTAAAGTTGTTTTCGGTTAGCAAAAACGATTTGCGCATGATTCTTCGTAATTTATGACTAAAACGTTTGATTAACTATAGTGATGGGCACAAGTAAATAATTTCTACTAAAATTTTTAGTCAGTACTACTGTTTTACCTATTAGTTGATTTATGAATGTAAAAAAATATTTATAAGAATAGTTAAATAAACCATAAAAAATGAATTGATTGTCAACGAGTAAATTTAGTCAAAACTATCTGAAAATATTATTTAGATTAGTAGACTAAAAAATAATTCACTAAATAAGTCGAGCAAAAAATATTTGTAAAATTAGTCAAAGTAGAGGTTATAAAAACCGACTATAAGTTGGTAGTAACAAATTAGTCGGTTAGTAAATATAGTTAATTTAACTTCAATAAAATAACAATCGCTTTAGCTGAACTCAATTGATTGACGTACTTGTGACTAGGAAGCATGTTGTCTGCCAATGCGGTTGTTATCATACGACCGTGATCGACTAATATACGATAATTAGTATCTAATGTATTTGCAGTTTCAAAACACCCCGTGTATTTTGAGACGCCGCTCACCTGTCAAAGTATATAAATATTAAAAATAAATTATTCTCAATTTACTCAGACTTACTTACTTTGAATATTGTGTCAAATAAAGGCAAAAACAAGTCGGTATCGTAAGTAGATTTTTTCCCTTGCAATACCATCGCTAAACGCTCAAGTCCCATACCAGTATCTACAAAACACTTTGGTAGTTTTTGCATCGCTCCATCTATTTCTCTAAATAATATCTGTTTCAATTTTAGTTAACATTGAATGAAATTGATTATTGGTAGATTTATTTACCGAGAATATTGAATAAAAACAATGTTCCATAGTTCTATAAGGTTTTTTCCACCCGATGGCGGATAATCAATATGTATTTCCGTACATGGACCGCAAGGCCCGGTCTCGCCCATTTCCCAAAAATTGTCGTTTCTTCCGCTCATAATTATACGACTATCAGGTATTCTATAAAATAACAATTTAAAATTTGTTCCAAATAAATCAATTTCAACAATGTTTACCCTAACTGCTTCCAAATCCGATAAGTCTCGTCATCGGCTTCTAAATTTTGTTGTTTGTCACCGTTAAATACAGTGATGTATAAATGTTCTGGAGATATATCGTAAGGAGACGATGTCAACAGGTTCCACGCCAAACGACAAGCTACAGCCTACGGAAAGCAATGTCAGTCGTAAAGTATCTAATTGAAATCTAATGTATTGACCTTACTTTATCGTATTGGCCAAAGGACCAGTTTCCGAGCATTTCGAAAAACGTATGATGGGTTCCGTCTGAACCAACTAAACTTAAATCATTGTGTCTGCCTCCTACTCTAATACATTTTTGACTGTTAGCCACACACTTGGCTACCAATGTTTGTTGGCCGAGAAAAACATTTTTAAACTAAAAAGTACAACCAAATTATCGCAAGCGTACAAAACATATTTATTATAAGTAAATCGTAACCTGACACATCCCAGCATTAACAAACGCTATTGAAGGATCATTATAAGGTAAGACTGGACTTGATTTAATGAACTTGTGATCATTTTCTTTTACGAAATAATCGATAAACCGCTGTCGAATTTCGTTCGAAGACAAAAAGTGTTTGTAACGTTTTCCATTTCGCGTTACGATTAACCTATTCAACTTACACCTAATCATCACAGTTCATTAATAATCAAATAACGTAGTATAGAACATTGGAAAATATTAATAATTATTAGTACCTATTTAAAATTCAAAAATATTTTTCACCTCATTATCAGAATGCGGTTCTGATAAGCAGTATCACGTGATAAAAGCTGATAAGAAAAAATATTTGGTTTTTTATTCCAAGGATTTGTTTTCAATTTTGAATTCTGTTGAAAAATAATATTGAAATCGAGTTTAGCCTTTTGGAGAGTTTTCATCAATAATCCCTTTTTATAGTAAATCTAAAACTGAATTGTTTCAAAACAAAAACTCCGACTAATAACATTTATATTAGTTTATTAACTTTAGGAAGTTAAGGAAGGGCATTACATAAAGTACATCAAAATATAAATGTAATTGACAATATTCACAAATTTGGATCAAAATGTTGATATTGTCATTGTCAAATTGATAATGTTGAACATTTGTCAAAAATTTAATTTGTAAAAAAACCTACCGCCACAATTAATTTATTTGAAGTGCTGGTTATCTTTTGATATCTACAGTTACAGGACAGTTAAATAAAGTTTAAGGAAAAACTTAAATATGTTTCTTAGCATAAAATGTAAAACCATAAAATTAAAAAAACTTGGTATCACACTTCCTTCGAAATTTCAATTTTGTTTTAAATATTATAATACACACTTTATTTATGTTTTTGACTGCACATAATAAATATATTTATCTTTATTACATTAAATATATTGCAAATATGTATTACACCGAATGTGTGAAAAATATGTAATAAAAAACTTCAACGGTATTATAAAAAGTTATTAAAAGTATGAGATATTATTATAGTAAAAACTGAATACTTTTAACTCAACTGTTACATTTTTTTAAATTCACTTGACTTTTTAAACTAGTTTAAATAAAGTGGCTTTGCCTAGCTTTGAATAAAATGTAGAAAATCTCTTTTTAATGTAATTTTTAAAAAAAACATTTCTTCATAATAGAATATTTAGAATTTTATATGTAAAAAAAAAAGTAAGTACATTATCAATAGAATGTAAAAAATAGTATTATATAACAAATAAGTATAGTATAGCTATTATATCAATTATGAAGCATAGATCGTAAACCCTTCAAGTGTTAAGATAAAATCGAAACAAAATGTAGACCGAAAACATGCTTATTGCTAAAAATAAGCACAGCATTGTTGATACAATTAAATATGATAATGACTTAATAGTAAACAGTGAGGAAAAAATATATTCAACAATAGTATGTGTAAACAGAGTATGATCTGTAATGAACAGTGATTTATATTGTGTTAGACAAAAATGGATAAGCAGGCTAGGGTTTTAGGAATTAAAGCAACTAGATAAAATAATTGTTTTAATAAATTTAAATATTCTCTGGTACGTACCAAAGGTAATTAAAATGATTTTGTTCTAAAAACATAATTTCATAACTGACAAAAAATGATTTTAATTACCTATTTTGATTATACATACTATTATATAAACTTTGCAAACAATAAAAACAATTATAATAAAAGTTATTTTGGTATTACAATTTTATCGACATAAAACAACATATAATAAAATATTGTGCTTCTATTAAAGAAGTCAAACTTCGATTAAATAAATATGGTTTTTAAAAATCTCCCTCAGTTTTGATCACGATGGTAGAACAAATGAATATAAAATAATTCACGGATATGGTATTTAAATAAATAAAATATAACAAATGACTAAATAATTAAAAACAAAGCTTCTATAATAAAAACTAATAATAAAACAACAAGGTTGAATAGTAAAATTCATCTTTTTAGTGATCCAATATTCTAAGATTGCCAGACACAATTTTGTTTTCGAGCGTAGCATTTGAAGGGATGTCTATTCTGTCACCGTGATTGGCAATAATGATTACCGTTCCCTACAAATAACACCATCATTAAAGGTTAAAACAAGTTCCAAACACGTTATCAAAAGAATAGAAATTCACAATTCATACTTTTAACGAAACATTGCGACCAAACGTAACATCTCCGGACACGGTTAAGTGATCTAACTCTAGTATGTCGGGAATTGTAGCGAAACGAGATAGGAAATCTTTGACTTTAGCAAAATCTTTATCTCCGAGCTTCACCAACGGAGTAGTAGGGAACATCCGTAGTGGACTCATTGACAACGATCCGTTACGCATATGGTACAAGTTACTCATGACCAACAAAAGATCAGAAGTTTTTTTGACAGGCAAGAAACGGCTACGAGGGACATTGATACCTAATGACAAACAATTAAAGTTATTAATAATTAAAGTTAAATTTTTTTTTTTTAACATTTATTTTCATACCGAGTCCTCCACTAAATGATTTCATTGCGGCTCCTACGGCGGTTTCCAGTTGAATAATGTTCAGATTATTATCTAGAGTTTTATTGTTGACTATGATTTCTAAATTTAATGATCCTTCGTTTAGAACTTGTTCAATGGCTCCGAGTTTGATCCATAAGTTGTTGGTATTGAAAAACTTAAACTTTTTCACCGATTTGAACTCTTCAAGATGCTCTTTGGGCACTTGGGCAATTTCCAACAGTCGCAGCTTGTTTTCATATTGAATCAAAGTACCACCTTTGACATCGGCTTTTGTCTTGTTGGTTACTTCCATTACAAATTCCGGAGAATTTGCATCTTGACTTAGTAACATATTTAAGATGTTAAGATCGACAGTTGCGCCCAAGTTATCAATGTTAGAAATAAAACAATAATCTCGGCCCTGAAATATTAATATAATAGGTATTCGACTAAATTTTCAAATACTAAATAAATGAAATGACAATTATTTATAAAAACTATTGCTTACGCTATTAATGAACTTCTGTAACAGTCCTGAATTTTTGAAGCTGTCGTAGAAATCACCGTGACCAGGTGGATACCATCTAAAAAGACGAAAGAAATATTTACATATAAATGTCTACACAATAGTTTTTTAAAGCCCATGAAATTCCTTTTACTTTATTTTAAAATACTTACGCTTCAATATTTCCATCAATGTTGCAGTTTTTAGCAATTGGTAGTAGCGATTCTTTGGAAACTCTTGGGAAACAGCTTTGATTGAAAGTATAGATTTCGACTTGAAGTCCTTTGTATTTACGGATTATTTGTTCAGTGTCTTTGTCGGTGTTGAAAGAATTCATCAAAACCAATGGTACGTTGACATTGTATTTTTTGTTTAAATGCTGTATGGGAATAAAACGGTTAAAAACTATTCCAGTACCTATTTAACATAAAACTCGTCTTACTTCAATTTGTTGTACTGTCAAGTCGAGGAAAGTAAGTTCGTTTCTGACTTGAATAACGGATTTGGGACCACGGCAACCCATGGAAGTCCCAAGACCTCCGTTGAGCTTAACAACAACGAGTTTTTCCAATTTTTTATGAATGTCGTCAGGACCTGGCTTTGGAAGTACATCATAGTCTCGTATCTAGAAAAATAATTTTAAATATAAACGGCGGGTAAATATTAAATTCACAAGTAATTTTATTTTATCTATATAATTCTTTTTAGGTCAACATAACCTAAATAAAAATTACTATAAATGTACGTACCACCTAACTTATTTAATGTGTTTGTTTATAATTTTTTTAAGTACTATGATAATTATTGGTTAACTAGTTAGCAATACTTAGTTATCATTAACTATTGTTACATAACTACTATAGCAATCAATTTTTGTTTTATCTTTAACAAAACATTTTTTTTGGGGGGGAGGCAGTACTAACGAATCAACCAATGTAATTAATTAATAATTAATCTGTTTAAACATTTAAGAAAAACCCGTCTATTTTCATAACAATTAAATTAATAACAAAAGAAAATATTTTTTTTATCTCTTTTATTCTCCACAATTTATAAGAAAAAAATTACTTTAAAATGAAAAGATGAATTTGAAAAAAAGGATATCTAATCTCCTTTTCCCCTTGTTTGTGCTAAGTGTCATAAACGTAGGTAGTCCAAGTAGGCACGTTTCACTCCTCCCTCTTATATGTATTTAGTAACGTCCTAGTCCAAACTGTATTTTTAATATACAAAGTACTCACCACCTCTTTTCATATATTTTAAATGTACTTTAGTTCTAAGCTAATTTGTTTTCTTATTTAAGATGTTATGTAGTCTGACATCTATAGGTACACCCTCAATTAAGCGCCACTGTTTAAATCCACGGGAATCGATTAAAAGGGTTATGAAAGAAGATATACATTTTGACCTACAATGTCTATGCTTGATATTGCAAGTAAATTGAAAAACAACAACTATGTCGACAACAAAAGTAATAATGGAATATAGATGTTTAGGAGATTCGGTGGCTCCAAAAATATAATGGCCTCGAATCAAAAAACCGGATACACTGTACACCTAATAACTTCCTGGAGAGACTGGCCAAGACGCATAAATTAATAAAATTACTCGTTATTGTTGAAAAAATAAAAATAAAACACAAAAATACAGATAAGAACAACAGCTCAGTAGGATCGGGACAAAGCCTTTAAGTTTAATCGGACACGAAGAGACGTGGGAATGGGATAAAGTACACCCGAAACAAAAATGTTATTGCTCAAGTCAAATTACAATAAAATCATGATACCGGGCTGGTACTAAATAAAGACATAAATACCAACAAGAAAAACACCAAGAACGATCAATATAGAATCTATTTGAAAGTACTAACATCTAAGTTAAGTAGATAAAGAATTTGTGATTTGTGAATGAAACCAGTTTACTCTTTTTAATTGGGGGTATTTTTGGATTTCTCAATTCTGGCATAACAACAATTAAGAGGTTCTTAATAGATGGTTTGGCATAATGTTGAGAGTAACTTAACGGCCAAATCTTAACTAAAGTAATATAGCATGTTAAAAATTGATAATAAAATGATTTAATAGTCCCCTCAATTTTTTTCTCCAAATTTGTATTTAATATGATGGTCTTTTCGATTCCTAAAACAATAGACTTCTTTATATCTAGTCCTCCCCGACAGACAGCATTAATTCTATTGTTCTATTACAGTCATTGAAAAGTAGGAAGTAAAAAAAACTTTATTGGTCTACAAACACATACACACATTCAGTGCTGTAAAAAACATGAAAACATAAATATAATACCTATACAACCTAACTAACGATTTAAAATTTAATGAACAAATATAGTATAATTATAATGACAGAAACAACTATGACAAATGCACGTCTTACCGCCAACTACAAACTTAAGAAATGTGTATAAATCATAAAATTACAGTAAATTTATCCTTTGACAATATAATTAATATTGTGGTGACGTCACCGGTCAGCGGCCACGCAACTTTATAATTATTATTTATTAATAATATGCTGTTGTTATTGTTTTTAATCGACGTTACCAACTCAACGTTACAATATTATTAACATGCAAATTGTGTTGTTTCATGGTAAATTTATATAAACTCAGAACAATAACTTATTTTATTGTTCTTATCCCAAAATAGGAGCTTATTATTATTAATAACCTATTTTGTCAAACCCTATACTACTATGATTTTTGTCTGTAATTTTGGCCACCAAGGTTACTGAACCTCACAACAATGTTTTTTTTTTTTAATAACTCAATAAATCCCACAGAATCATTAAACAATCAACTCCAAAAAAAGGTAATACAATTTACAAAATACCTATTTAAACACTAATATGGGGGAGGAGGGGAATCAATTTTTATAATTTTATAAAAATGTTATTTATTTATTTTTATAAAAAAACATTTGAAATGACCAATACATTTTTATTTTTAGTAAAACCGTAACTTGAATTTGTACAACTTTTAACAGATTTCAATAATAGTATATTGTAAAAAAATACATTTACTTTTTTCTACACTAAAAGTAAATGCTCGAAATAGCTGCCGAAATTCTTATACGCTATAGACTATTATTTTTGTGGTTAAGTGTTTATTTAAATATTTAATTATTTTATAATATGAAAGAAGCTTGTGGATTAGGTTTTATGATAATTTAATTAATACCGACATGTAAAGCCGTAGGAAAATTCAATATACAAAATCTATTTTTTTCCTTTGACAACAAATGAAGGTCCATAACATGCATAAGCATTAACCATTTAAATTAGTTTTCATTAACATATAAATATATAATCTATATCTACATATGTATATGTAAATGTATATATTTAAATATATTCTTAAATGTATATATTTTTTTATAGTCATATAGTCTAAAATTAATAAATGGTTCGGACATTTAAAATTTTTTAATCAGCATTTTAAACACTTTTTATAACCTTGCCATAATGGGGACTAATGGGACACGCTGTACGACGTCGTATATTATGTATAAAACAAAAATACAACGCACCTAAAATGTACACGATGATGTGTACGAAATTAATAACAAAGAATAAAAACCGTATTAATATTATCTGACCCACTGATACGGTAGTCATCCGAGGTCAATATACACAGTTTATCACAGGGTTATTACCTTATCACCTTATCGACGGGACCTCCAAAAAAAAAAAAACCTTAACGGACGTTGATATACTCACTGCGTCTGCGGGTAATTTTTCAATACGGTCCCAGTCGACCGACGGTCCAGATTCTTCCAGAAATCGTTGAAACAACCGGGAAAATGCGGTAAACTGCGACTGAGCTAATTCCTTCTTGTCCTCGGGTACGGTTGCCAACAGCGATACGATTTCCTTTTCGAGTTGCACTAACGAATCCCTTTGGGTGACTTCTTTGAACTCGCGTAAGTCCGTTGAAGGTACTCTGCTATGCCCTTTCGTCTAAAACGATAAAAAAAAATTGAATGGTTAAAATTCGATTTAAAAAAAAACAACCTAACCGTTACAGTATTCAAGTAATCTAATATTATACGAGTGAATTAGAATTTAGGAATAATTCCGACTCTCTACCTTTTGTTTTTTTCGGGACTATTAGTTTCTCTAATAAGAAATCAAAAGTAGCCCAACGTCATCATCCCTACATAACGTTGTTGTACGGCCTTTATTTTTTAATATCTTCTACGCCATAGAAAAAATAAAAAAACAAACATCGAATTTTTGTTACTATTACTCAAATTGTCATAACTTAGGTACTTGTCGAAAGTTTTCTTTAATATCACCTTGTTTTCTTTGTAAAAATGCCATCTGTTGATTCAGTAAATTTACGATTTTTATTTTAGTAAGCAAAAATTACTATTTCCCATAATTCGATCGATTGCACATAACTACTGAATCGATTGAACACATTGTGAGACATTTTTGTTTTTTTCAATTACCAATTTGATAGCTTGAGCGACAGATCGGACGATTTCAACTAGATATGTATTCTAAAATAATTGATTGTCATTCATAAATTGATATAAATCATTGATATTCTAAAATCAATGCTAAGATTGCAAATGTAAGATTACCTCCGGAAAAACGAAAAAGAAAAATATTAAACTTAAATTGAACTATTTCATTATTTTCGTGATAGGATGGCAGAAGTCGCTTTTTCCAAAATTTTAGGAAAATAAAATTCACATATCAACTTCTTTCATCCTACCATATGTATTATTACAATAATTTATTAATATATGAATTAATACATTTATGAATATTAACTATTTACTTGCATGACCTTGCTAAAACCTAAAACCTAGTTATGGAAATTAACTAAAAATTAGAACTATTTTACAGATTATGTTCTTTTACGTCGATGATCGATAACGCGCAACTACGTCTTACCTAACTAAATAATAAAACAACATATTACATAAAGAACTTTTATTTTTTTTGTAACACGCATTAGTACCTTTTAATAACGATTTTTAATCGTTTATTTTGTACTAGGTAATTGAGATTGTGCACAAGATTAACAAGTTTCAAGGAAAATGTAATACAAACATTTTATGATCAGGCAAATGAAAATGATTAACGCAAAACGCACTTGAAATTTATTAAGCTAATAAAATTTAGTCGGGTGAATTTGTTACAACCGTTTAATATTTTTACACTATACTTGCCAATAGCTAGAAAGTATATTTTTAAATTCAAGAATAAATCGATTTTAATCGTTATTTCCCATTACCAAACAATAATCTTTAGTTTTATTATTTTTATTTAAATAGTGTTCATCAACTGTCACGAAAAAACGCTTACACTAAAACTCAAATACATATTATGTCAATGAAAGATTTTGAAACAATCAATGGGGGGATCGACTTTAACGGGAATAAATACTTTAGTTTTTGTTTACTATTCCCCCCCCCCCATTAGAAAAGTCTTGAGAATGCTTCTAAAATCAAACAATTATATTATTCTGGTGTAAATTTGAGTCTTGTAAAGACGTCTCTTAGCTTTCTTCCTCCTAGGTTGTATTTTTTAATGGAATGTTATATAAAATTTAAGTTTAAAAAAAGTTATTTTCAAGTATAGTAATAAGTTTGTTTTGAAACTAACGGCTACAAAATTGTATTACAAAATGTTTGGTTATTACTCAACCTAATGCTGTGAATAGCTGTTATTAGTTAATTAACATATTATAATTGTATTTATTATAATAATCACCGTGTAAAAACTATGATCACTTTGAAACAAATCAATAGTAGAACAAAATAGGGTTACGGTAGGAAATGACGCAGACATATAAAAATATAAATCGCATCATAACAGCCTCCAGGCAATTTGTAATTTGTAACGGTTGGTAATATTTCATTACCTTTAACTACATATTTCCATTTTGAAATGTAGACTTACAACCAGCAGCAGAGTTCATTCAATGCATATATAAAATATGTGCACAAATACAACAATTATACTTCCTTATATTTTAAACTCGGCTTCAAGATAAACAGCAATTTATAGTTATTACAAAACGTTGTTAGCTAAAAACTAGTAATATGTATAGCAGCTGTTATGTTATTTTCATTCATCCGTAGTGTACATAAAATAATAAACCCGTTCTTTATTATACTGGTATGCCATAAGTCGTATACGACATTGAACTTTCAACCTGTGACTTTTGGCCCAACTTGTATATTAGTTTGTACCAATAAGTTAAATTCGACACAACAGAACTAACAACTCGTTAGAAGTGTTAAATATTGTTTTTTTTAAATTGTTTTATCTAAAAATATTCAATAGTGTATCATTTAAATGTATAATTGTAACGGTAGCTGATTAAATACTGCTAAGTATTATTGATAATACTCAGGTGCGTATTCTGTCAAATTGTATATGAAAATGTTTGAGTGATTACTTAATAAACATTGTTAGCAAAGATGAAATGTATGGACTTACAAAGTTAAATTATTAAGTCTGTAATTTACACGTTACTATTTCCTGACAGGAATTTTTACTAACAGCATTGATTGTAAGCAAGCAAATTTCTTATTTTTAAAAGATATATGAGGTTTTTTTATTTAAAAATCACATCATAACTACAAGGTACGCGATCACTCCTCAAAGAAACAGCAAATTGAATTTAAAACATTCATTAATTATGGGTTTACTACAATAATATCGACAATTAAAAATCACTCACAAAAGCTCCGTCTGTTTAACATAAAACACCAATTGATGATTTAAAAAGGATTGCAATAAAATTAGTATTCATTTATTGTTGTTGTACCAGCGTCAGGAGAATATACTTATATATATTATTAAAAAATAAACCAAAGGCATAGGGAAGACAATAGAGTAAGTACAATTTTTTCAAACTCGTTATTATAATAAATATCTAAACCTATAAAGTTTAGGAGAATAAAGCTCAAGAAATTTAAAAAATAGAATTACAGCGTTTAGAAAAAATGCATATACACTAAGTTACATAGTTATTGCACAAGTCTGCAAATTTAAATCGCGTGGTTAACAAAAACTATAATTAAATAATGTATATAAAAATACCATTTTCAAATTAAAACTAGAACTCAAGTCAAGACGGGATTGAGTCGTACAAACAAAACTGAGAACACAGAAAAAAATAACAAATCAATGACGTCGTATTAATAATTTGAATAAAAAACTTCAACTATTATTATTCAAAACGATTTTGTCACGCGACGCAATAATAGCTGAAAAAGTTAATATGTAAATTATGTCGACTATTAATATGTGTATATTTTTTTTTCAATCGTTTATGTACCTACTAGTGGTGTGAAACTTTACCTTTGTCGGTTGAACGTTATTGGAAATGTTTATTCCCGAATATCCCAAGTTGGTTTCCTCGACCATGTTTTGTTGGCTTTTTATTTCGAGTTCGGGGTTCAAAAATTAAAAAATAATATAATATAATATAATAAAAATAATAAATAAAACAAGAACGACTTTTACAATCAAATAATATTATAATATTATTCTTTCGATTTTCCTTTTTACGGATCACACGACGGCGGCGGCGTCAAACGAACATCCGTCAATCTGAACATAACACACACGAACTGGCCTTCCCGCACTCATGAAAACCAGTTTTTATAAACGGCTTACCCGTGTATAGATATGTATACACACCGACACACACACAAAATACACACACACTAATACATTTAATATATATATATATATATATATATACATATTAATAAACACAATCATAAGATTTATTTATATATATATATATATGTGCGCACACGTACATACAAGTGTATGTTATATTTCTATTGGCTTTACCTAATCTGGCCGAACGTAATTTTACCGTGTACCCGTCGAAAGCTACTGCTACACCGACTACGTGTTTTCCTCGGCCTATCGATTTTAAATAAAAACCAACAAATAAAAATCTAAAAATCTCAAAAACCTTGTTTGCATATTGTGATGAACAGCCGATCATAAACGCAATATCCGCACACCGCCGTAATTGACACATTAGGACGGACGAATAAAATATTAATATAAACTAAAACGATAATATTATAATTTATAATGCTGTAACAGATTGTTACAATTAAATCAAACCCGTCTTCTCCGGGGACGGGACGCGGTGCCTTCGTCGACAAATGATAATTATTATTGGTAATAAATTTTTTTTTAAAAACCAGCTGGTTACCAAATTTTCAATATTTACTTCTTTTCGTCAACGGATGGTAGAAGTGTTGAAAATCACACTCGTTAAGGGGCCTTTACACTAGAAGTTTTTACAAAGTTTATTTACACATATAAAAGTCTACCTAATATGGCCTAAAACTAAAAAGTTACCCCTACCCTATCAAAATTAAGAAAACCTTTCCTAAGATTGGTATAAAATCATTTTTAACTTAAAAATACGACAATATAAGTTTCCGAAGAATAGTCGAATTACTTCCAAATTAAAAAAGAAGGTAAATTTAATATTAGATACATACATTATTGCAGAAAAGCATAGTAAAAGTTGTATTTAAATGATTTCAATTATATTGATATTCAAAAATGTTTATTATACATAGATCAAAAAACCCGAGTTTTTTTTACAGTGATTTGATTTGACAGTTGTAACCATTTCTATTATTTCACGGTTTGTAATTTTTTTTATCAGGTTTAGAACAATTATTAAAAATGTACAGACATTTATAGTAAAGTTTTTTGGGTCTTGAAACAACACAAGAGTCAAAACTGCTATACTAGTGTTACAAATTGTACATGAGAAAATTTCTATTTTATAGCTAATCTAAATTACCTGAAATAAATCACTATAATCAAAATCTAAATAAACTTTTTTTTTTTAAAATACTGCCTATTTGAAGCTTGTGAGGAGACACTTCTAACTTTTTGTGCTACTGTATTTTTTTTATTAAAACGATACCTATAGCAAATTTGAATGTTTAAATAGGCTTATAATATGATATGATAACCTTCAACCAATATTGGCTTCTATATGTAAAAATTATATAATCTATTTAATTATAGTAGAAATTAAAGACTCATATACATTTGAATTGATTTTTTAAGTTTTTTCATTAGGCTAATTTATAAATTCCGGTCAAAAAAATCATATCAAAAAATATATATTATCGTTTCCACCACAAATGGTAGTATTTTTTATCTGGAATATTAATATATGTTAAAAAACAATTTCCAGTAAATAAAATAAAGTGCGTTGACCCATAAGAGTTAACAGTGGGGTCGGTGCGAGTGCTGATTTTGAAGTCATAAAAACACTTCGCAGTAGGGTTGCCAACCGTCCTACATTGGCCAGGACAGTCCTACATTTGTATGATTTGTCCTACGTCCAACAACGCTTTAAATTTTTTTGTAGGACTATCCTACATTTCAATAAATGTACCCAATAATATAGTTTAGTCTATGAAAAATTACAAAACATTTTTTATATTTCATTATTATTATAAATTATTTTTAATTGTATCTATGATTTAGGTTAATCACGTCTTGTATTATGTATACAAAGGTCATTGACAATTCAAAAATATTTTATCATCTATGCTTGTATATACCACGGTCTTAGACATAATTCTTGAGTCTTGGACCAAGACTCAAGAGTCATGTATATTTTTTTTTATTTTTTTTGTTCTTATTAGTTGCAGTATGCATTTCATAATTAATATTGTTTTTTGTTATGATAATTTATATTAATAAATTTCATTTTCTTATCAACTTAAAATAAGTATTTACTATTTGGGTGAGGCCCTCATTTGGCAGGGGACCATGGGGCCCCGCTGCCGGCTTGGATATGAAAAATATTGTCCTACATTACACAATTTGAAAGTTGGCAACCCTACTTCGCAGAAATATGCTGGAATAATAATGCGTATCTGTGTTTACGTATTGTTAGAAAATCAAGTCAGCAAAACAAAATTATTTGAAAATAGGTATTTTCTAGAATGGTCGTTGTGTTTTCAACACAGTCAGAGCGATTTTATCAATAGTTTGTTATTTGATAATATTAATACCTATAATTAAATAACAACATTAATTTGTGGTTTTCTTATCATATAGAGGCCAGAGTCTATTTCTAAATTAATAAAGTGACGTAAACCCGTTATTTTTACGATTAACGTAGTTTAGAAAAAACAATTTACTTTGCTCATGTCCTACTTAAAATTTAACATTCCAAACAACAAGCAGTTTTATTCTTGCCTACTCTGAACCTCAAGGCAACTTTTTCCGTTATTCCTTCTTAATTCCGACTTCAGACAAGCACACAAGTCCACTTTATATGGTTTGAGGTACCTATAGGGTTTAACTCTTGGGCTCTTAAAAATTGTACGGTTTTTTGTAGTTGAACTATTGAATTTGAATTATTTATACTCTTTGGACATATTGTCTTTGTTCATACGATTCAGTTTTGAACGCGAATTCGGAGATACCCAAAATCACGATTTTGAAAAACATGGACATGGTACTTTTGTGCTTTAAGCCTTAAGGTATTGAATTATTCTAAATAATGCGAAAATATAAACTTCTTACTATGAAGTTATAGTGTTTAAACTCGTAACTACCAAATGCAATGTCACCAGCCATATCAATTTTGTTTAAAACACAAGCAAACAAATTAAAATCAAATAAAAACAAAGTATTTATTACAATAAAACGTTTAAAATAAAACAACAAAGTTGATTTATTCTATACTTATTCATTACAATAACGGTTTATGATACAGTTTAGTATATTTTTAACCGCGTCAAAGACCAAATTTTTAATTGTGTTCCAAAATATTGATAACAAAGGTTATTGTCATGCCAGTTTGCCTACAACGGTTTGACGGGTTTTAAATGAAAATAGGTTAACCTTTTCGAGTATATTTATCATCATCATTTATTATAATGAAAATATTTTCATTACCGCTTTTGACTTTTGATGACCGTAGTCAATTTCCAATTACGGCCAATGAGTAATTTTCCCCTTTTTGGGGTTTTCCTTAATAAAAAAAAGTTATATGTTATGTTAGAACTGTTGTTACATATTATAACCGAGATATTGTAGGGTAATTAAACCCCCCCCTAATCACTGGTGCGGGGTGCCTCCTGTATCAAGAACATGAGAGCACAAAAAAATTATTTTACTAAATCACTCAAGTTTAAATCTTTTACACACACTTTATTAGGACAAAAAATCAAAACAATTGTGAAGGAAAGGGATGATAAACATTATAACCCCTTCCCTAACGTTTCTAACTTTATGAACTTTTAATTGGTAATGTATATATTCAATAAACATTTAAAAATAAGAATAATTTGCTGAACACTTTGACTGGTCGATAACCACTTTTGAGTAATTATTATAACTATGGGGAAACCAATTGTCATATCCGCGGCAACTATCCCAAAATGGAGGGATCGCAAAATAAAGTCCGCTCCACAATACCTATTTTGTTCCAGGACAAATGCTTCAAGGTTTATAAAAAGGTTCATTGTGAAGCAAATAATGGGCAGGGATATGAAATTTAAGTTGATATTACAGTATTCAACCGAATTGAAGGCACATGACTTATCATTGATCCCACTATCCAGTGAAAAACCAATGATGACAATCAAGACGAATTGGTTAACCAGGAAAAATAGGAAATATATTTAGAATGTATACAATAAGTAGAAAAGAAATACGGCATCAAAACTAGGATGTTATTGGTTCATGGTTTGGGAAAAAGGTACAGCGTCTCCTGCTCTAGTGGAGTTCTTCAAGAGGTAAAAACTAGGAAAAACCATTTTATACAAATGTTTATATTATAGATTATGTACTGAGACTGGGTCCTCGTGACAACCCATGAATTGGCCAGCTCGCCAATATTTTATTAATAACGGTTGTATCTCTCTCTTTAAAATTAAAAAGAAGAATAATTTTAAAAAGTCTAATATGTTTTAAGATAATGACTGGGTCATAGTTATCCAATCACTCTGTATACCCAATACACATATAAATGTATCAATAAGCAACTTAAGCCAAGTGTATCTTACATCCTATAGCTATTCAGGTGTCCCACGAGGTTTTAATAATTTATATATCTACAAGAGAAATCGAATAGTATTGTAATGGTATAATAATTAAACAGTTCTTCTTATAACAATTTGAAAAATGATTAAATATTATACTTAAGCTAAATGTCAATTTTATTTATAAATATAAATCATATAAATCACAAATCAATGTTGTGACTTGTATTGCTGTCCGCCTTTACAGTAAATTAAAAAAAAATTTTGCGTACAGTTTTTGTTTTGATGAGCTACACGCCTGAAACTCACAACTCAGTTGTTTACAAATTATAGAATTATTTTGTTTTTTTTATTTTTGCAAAAATGTAATATTTAGTAAGAACTTTATGGCATCAGAAGTCCATTGTAAATTATGAAGGAAACAAAAAGAAGTCATATTAAATTAGGAACTTGACTAAAAGACTTAAGTATTACAATTGAAAATGAAGGGATAAATGTTAATTTTAAAACTATAATCAAAGCAGGACCCTCCTAGTTCCCTTCCTTCATAAATACAATTTAACTGAGTCCTCTATCGCGTAGATATG